GTGTGTGTGTGTGTGTGTGTGCGTGTGTGTGTGTGTGTGTGTGTGTGTGTGTGTGTGTGTGTGTATAGAGTGTGCCACCTCCAATGTTAAACACTGTTCAATTTCACCGGTCAATATCTGATTTATGCGGATTTCAAATAAATGCTGCCATGAATAATAATGCCCAACCAATGCCAAAAATTATTACATTTTACAGGTATGCGAAAATGTTCCAATTGTGTTTTTGAATGAAATGGTGTTCTTGGATTGGAATGACTTCTTCGATGTATTGTCATAGAACCCTTTATTTTGTAGCCAATGTTTTAAGTCACAATTTAAATTGACGTGTTTAAAAGAAGAAAAAAAAAAGTCAAAGTTAGTGGCAAAAGGAGAACACGGCGCTGGGAGGCGAGTCTCTTCACATTAAGCTGAAACAAGGTTACGAACGGCACGCAATGAACTCGTTTCTCGGTTGCTGCTCGTACAGACCGTTTTGAATTTCATGGTTTGATATCCAGACCCTCGAAATGTTTGTCCAGATAAATGTTTACTTTGTCTGCTTAGATCAACAAAGCATTCTGTCTTCGGGCCCCCGTAGGAACGAAACTTTGTGTCGTGAATCGAAGACCCCCTAAAAGAAAATGACTGACACATTTTTGTGGGAGTTGAATTTCAAATTGTACTTCACCTGGACGGAGGACTTAATACAAATCTCTTTGTATTCTCATTAGGCAGCTTTAGATACATCCAGACCCCCCCCAAAAAAGTTGCAACCCCTCAGTCTTCAAAATTGGACTGTCTCGCCATCCCGATCCCCCCTTTGTCCGGCCGAGCGATCATCACTTTCGAGAGCTGCCCCCCACTGGTCTTCCCTTCCACGCCGACGTTAAGGTTTGCGGCGGTGCTCCAGGAATCAGGAAAAGAGACCCGCGGAGGGCTGACCCCGTGGCCCGGCAGATGGAGCTCAAGCTGGGGGAGAAAGTCACACGGACACCCCTGGCGCTCCCGGAGAACCAGAGCGAGAGACGGCAGCCAAGACGCACCTCGCTCACACAAACGACACGCACACACACACACAATCTGGCAAGACCATAAAGAGTGTGACAGCTGAATGCCAATCAACCTGCAGACATCCCACAATACCTTTGCAACCAAATGGGACCAAAAAAAACAAGAAAAAAACCATCAACAAGCACTTTTGGCCTCTTTTTGGACTCACCGTGCTTGTTAGGAGCTCAAACAAGATGGCGCCCAAACTCCACCAATCACACGCGGCCGTCTCCTCGCCGATGCCGCCCACCTCTAGAAAAGAAAAACACACGATGAGTGAATCCCGAAAAGGCGCGACCTGTCATGGCGGAAACCATACGGAGGAAAAATAATCATTCACTTGCGGTTCTTTTCAAACATGGAATGAAATCGGCTCAATGCGCGGCGGCTACTTCAGTTTGAAAATACTCGACAAGGTCCCAGGCCGACATCTTGAATCAGGCAGTAATTCAGCGGACTGACTCAAAATGAGCGCGCGCACACGCACACACGCGCCGAGTGTGTCTCATAAAAGCGTGATTTGCATAATAAAAAAAAAAAGCAGTTAAATTGAGGAAAGCGTCTGTGCCGCAACTTCACACCATCTGCATGACCCGACCTTCGAACAAGCAAACGCACATTCAGACAAAACGCGCCACACCAAGAAATGGAAAAGCGCCGACACGAGAGGACAAATGGCGCAATGGAGTTTTGTTCTCTTTGTGCCGTTTGGAGGGGTTGGGGGGGGGGGGGTCTCGCTTGGCTTGAGGGCTGGTTGTGGACAAACCGCATTATTTCATGGGTTGGCAAGAATTCATTTTGCTCTAAGTTGCCCAACTTGCAATTGGGTTTTTTTAATTTGAATTAAAAAAAAAAAGTGAACTTTTTATTTGAAAAAAAAAAAAAAAAAAAAAAAACTTAAGACGATCTTTGCAAGGAAAACTTCTGAAGGTGAATATTTAAATGGCAACTCTGCCGCCAAAAAGGCACACAAGTGGCTTTGTGCTTAAGTGAAGCAACCAAACAAAAAGGGTTAAAAAAAATAATAATAATAAATAAAATAAAATTTTAAAAAAGTTCTTCAAGCTCGGCTCCCTTTTGGCTCCCATTGGTTCAATTATTTGTTTGTTGCTTCTTAATTTGTAAAATAAATGAGAAAAAATACATACAAAATATCAAAAAAAAAATTATATAAATATATTTGTATATTTATTCACAAACTTAAAGTGGTTTGATAAATCAAAAAGAAAATCCAAACCACCCATCAAAAAAAAAAAAGGGGGCCATATTTTTGCAGGTTGCTGAACTAGTGCAGGAGCAGCAACAACTCCGTCACTGCCAGCTGTTTTCCAAAGCAGGATTTACCCTCCGATCCCCATCCTGGAATTTGACGCATTGAATCGACCATAAGAAAGACGAGATTTTACTTTCACGAGAAAAAAAGGTGTGTTTCTATCTTTTCCCGTTCTTTGGGAATCACTCGTCCAGCATAAGTCGGCTTCACCCAAAAACGAAAAATCTAAATTTGGCCCGCTCCCAACATGTTGGCATTTTTCACTCCAAAAAAAAAAACTCTCCTTTATTTGTCTTGAGGTTACTTCTTAACTGGATTTTCAGATTTGCAAACGACATCACAAATTCGAGTGTTTGCAGACTTTCATCGTAAGCAGTGGCGGCGCTAAAGGGTGCCCAAGGCCACCCCCCCATTGTCACCCTGCGGCCTCCCCATACCTCGGGGAGCATTCCGATGTGATTTTTCTGCAGTTTCCACGTGGGTGTATATTCTTCAACGCTTTGATACTCTGATTATCTGCGGTACACACACGGAAGAAAAGACACTGCAAAAAAATGACACTTTCAAGTCACTTACGATCGGTAAAATGTTGCTTTTTACTTAGGTTGGTTCCTGCTTGATTCTGAGTATGGTTCTGGATTTGTCAGAATTGTTTGAAAAATTCATTCTACACCCCTGATTGGAAGAGAGAAACAATTGTTCCATGTTGGGTCGCATTATCAGTATATGTGTAGCCCACCTAAGACACAAAAGCGTGACACCCGCTTTTTTACCAAAGTCAAAAAGTGTGCGTCCATGCATGCTACCAGCTCCGCTTGGCACCAGATGGCTTCTCATGCTGCACAACTTTGCTCTGCTACAAAGAGAGTGGGGGTGGGGGAGAAGGGTCGGTGTTGGGGGTGGTCACCCAGGGGGCGTCCGTGACCCCGTGCGTGCCCAGAGATCGGGCTCCTCAGCTGGGGGAACATGAGAGACAAAGACCCCTCGTCTCCCGGAGGCTGCCGGGGGAACTCAGCGGGGCCGTGTGTGGCTCTCTTGCAGCCAAGGTTAGAGAGGGCTATGATACTGCTGTGCCCACACACACACACACACACACACACACACACACACACACACACACACACACACACACACACTTACAGCTAACTGAGCAACCAGTCTTCGGGGCTCCCCAGGACTACTGTTTTGACAGCCAAGGAGAGAAGATCGTCATTGAACGGACTAGTGATACCTGCGTAGCTCCTGGCTGGAGGGGGGTGTTGGTGGGGGGGGGGGGGTGATAGTGGACACACGCACGCACACACACACACACACACACAAACACACGCGTCTCAGAGCAAGGTCGATGTCATCACAATGGATTAATGTCTAAGGAGCTGCAGGGAGAGTACAGTGAAGCTGGCTACACTTACCGCTCTGTCAGAGCGAGGCACGGAGCAAGGGGAGAAAAAGGATGAGAAGGGGGGAGTGTGTGTGTGTGTGTGTGTGTGTGTGTGTGGGAGGGGGGGGTTAAGCGCGTCCAGAGGCCACAGGTCATCGCGAAACAACTCTTCCGCAGTGTGACTGTCCCTTCAACTCGCATGTGCGCCAAACGCTTTGAGATGGTGAAATCAAAGGAGCGATGCAGAAGAGTTCAACAATGCCGCACGTTCGCCTCGTTGGCCTCCCCTTCTTCTTCTTCTTCTTCTTCTTCTTGTTCCCTTTTAAAACGAAACAATGCGAGCGTGCACGTTTTGCTCGGTATCTCAAACCGCATCTCGTCTCTCCTGTGGGCCGTAAGGAACTCTCGCGCTTCTCCTCTCACGGCCAACTTCCCCAAACACTCCGCCGAAGAGCTCAATAGAAAGCGGAAGCGATGTTTAAGCAGGTAGGAAGTACAAGGAGGGAGCCGGCTACACTACAATGGCGTGTGCCAAGACTGTGTGTGTGTGTGTGTGTGTGTGTGTGTGTGTGTGTGTGTGTGTGTGTGTGTGTGTGTGTCTAAAAAAAAAAAGAAAAGAAACACGCTGAATGCATTTTTCCTTTGTATGACACACAAAAACTTAAATTTAAGATCAGCAACCATCAAATGTGAAATGAGGATTGGCTCTTCAAGTTGTTGTTGTTGTTTTGTTTGTTTCTATGACAACAGAAAGAGAAAACGAACTTGGAAAATGATGCTCAGCATACACCAAGCAGTCATTCATTTGACGATAAGATTCAAATGATTAAAAGCTGCGCTTAGGCATCATGTAGGAAGTATAAGGAGTGATGATGTCACGTACGCTGAGTGATGCGTGTTCAAAGGCAGAACAAATAAAAGTTTTCGATGCTTTTTTTTGGTTCTTGCTTTTCATTTCATTTTGTTGTTGCTGCTGATGGTTCTTTAATTTTAAAATCGTATTCTAATTATCTGCGTACTGCATGTGAATGGGCCGATGACGTTTACTGTCGGGACTAAAAATGAAAAAGAAAATAAAAAGATGTGAATTGGAACAGATGCGCTAAAAAATAAAAAAGCTGTGCTAGCCTCAGTCGAAAAAAATGAATCACCTTTTAGGATTCAATTCGCTTCTGTCCGTCATATATTCAACTGCTTGTTTTTCCTTCCTTTGCTTTTGTTTGACTAATTATTACAAACCAAAACATTTGCCATCTGATGTTTAGTAGCGATGACTAAATGGTGTGAAGGTAAATAAGCACAAGGGTAGAATAAACAGATGAATACACCGCCACTGGATTTTTCCAAGTCCACTCCCTGATTTTTTTTTTTTTTTTTTTTTTAGCGTGGGTGTGAATGCGCGCGCTTTAAAAACATGTTTCTCTCCTTTCACACATACATACATGTGAGCGCGCTGCACACAAACGCACGGAGAGCAGACCCCCTGCTAGCTCTCTGGCAAACAGTCATAAATCTGTCATCAGGAATGAAGCCATAGAGCTGACCCTGTCTGGATAAACAGCAATACATAACAAGGGCAAGATAAAACGCACACACGCATACGCGCGAGTTGGTGCTTGGAACGACGAGCGCGTTCATGAAATGAATGCGTGTATTAAATGCAGATTTATATATTAGACAGGAGTAAAAAAAATAAAATAAAATAAAATAAAAAAAGATTCCAAAAAGGCATACAGAAAGATTAAGCGTTGCCATATATGTAAAGAAGGGATCACACGCCCCCTAGTGTCGGATATTATTACAACGTGACTGCAAAATTTAGGATCAATATGTTGTCTTCAAAACTTAGATTTTTCTGATGATCCCAAACATGTTTTTTAAATGAAATATCTTGGCTGAAGATATGATCAACAAAGTAAAGCACAAATCCGGCCCGCAATACCCCTGAGATTTTTTTTTTTTTTTTTTTTTATTGTATTAAGGCGCAGGATTATTCAGATTATTGTCTTTAGGTGATTTAATCAATTCTGTGCCTCATCCCCGAAGATGCCGTTGGCAGAGGGGTTATCTATTGTGGTTGCCTTTTTACAAATTACGGATATTTATGGTTGAGGGATTTATTTACATGAATAATCTTACAGGATGTATTTTTTTTTCCAAATCAATTTAGATTTTTTTTTTTCCTTTTAAAGAGAAGCAGAAGAGTAACAAGAAGAAAATAATAAAGCTCTTATGTCTCGTGTTGTTCCAGATTGAGGTGAAGTTTACTAAAGCTTTAAAAAATAAGTTGCTGTATGTATTTATGGAGTCAATTCACAATATTTCTCCCGTAAAAATGTTTCAAATACTTTCTGCCCGTTTTCAATGAACTACTTTTAAAATTCAAACACTTTGAAATACAAATGTACACATTTAGATGGCCGACAAAATGCCCCGGTGTGCATTTTACACGTGACAGAGAAAATGATGATGAATTATGCGTCACCTTACCTTCCTCGAACAATAATGAATTCAAAAGTGTTATGAAAAAAAGGCGGTGATGTGTTTTCAGCAAGAAACATGAATTTCAACTTCGGTGCGTCTGAAGTCACCTATTTGAAATACGCCAAAGCTCAGTGAAGAATCACTCATTAAGGGGCAAACCGTTTGCTTTTAACAGCTTTTCAACAGCATGCCAGAGCTGCCATAAGCCTGCCGGCGGCAACAAGCACAGGGCCTGAGCGCGCACGCCCCAGCTGGCCTCACCGTTGCGCAGCAGCGCCCTTTAGAGGACGACAAAACAATTACAACAAGGTTTGCTCGATCCGCACCAAGGCTTTGGAAAAAATATCACCGTCTGATTTTCGATGTGGAAAATCAGACGGAAGACAGACGGCAAGGATAAAAATGCTCACGTGCGTGCTTAATTCGCTTAGAAGTCAGTGGAGGAAGGCTGCAAAGATGATTTGAGTCACTCGAGGCCGCACGCAAGGATCATTTTTCGATGCCGACTGTTACTGTTGTCGCACTCGGTGTCGAGATAAATTTGCGCGATGGTGGCAAGACTGGAGGAAACTACGTGAAAGCCAGCCGAGTCTACCTTCTCAAACCGCTGACGCCCACATCACTCACCGGGATAGGCCCCGCCTTTCAAAGTCACACACGCTTAAAAAGTCGCAGATAATATTGTGGAACATGACGATGGCAAGTGGACAAAAATAATACTTGCACCTCACGCGGACTTGTTATTGTGTTTGGTAATGCAAAATCAACTTTTATCCAATTACTCCAGTTACTGACGGGATAATCAACAGAATGCCAGATTCTAAAATGATTCACTTATCACACACTCAACACAAAAAACGAAAAAAAAATGCTCAGAATTTCCCCTGATTTTCAGTATTCGTGGACCCTTGGTGAGTAATTCAACAAATATGTGAGAGCTCTTTGGCATGCCAAATAAAACGTCTTACCCGGTGCGCAGTACATGTTCGCGACGGCCTCTTTGTCGCAGGACTCCTCCACATCACTCCAGCTGCAGAAGTAAGTTAGCTGAACATGACCTGAAAGGAAAATATATATTTTTTTTTAGCACCTCGCACATAGTCAAGTGGCACTCTGACTTTTTGCACTTTTCAAATTGTTGGCCAACCTTATAAGCACTTCCTTCCCGCCCCGTTCCTTTTGCGCTAGCTTACAATCCCCTCCGTGAGCCGTTTCAAAGCGCAGCGCCTCGGCGATTACTCCTGCTTAGCGGCTACCCGTTAACGCCATCATTAGAACTAATGGTGTCATTAGGTAGCCGCGGCCATTAGCCGGGGCTAGCCAAAATGATGCACCGCACTACTTCGTTGATGGGCCCTTTAGAACAATAATTACCACGGGGGAGACTAAAACAGCCACTCAGCTAATTAGACGCTTGTTGATAACGAGGTGCAAAGAGATGATTGTGGGACGACAACAGAAGAAAATGGGGAGGAATTTGTGACCCAGTAAAACGCGCCTCTCGCCTTTATTTTGGTAGAAGAGATCATGACTGATGAGGGGGTGGGGGGGGGTCGCCAGCCAATAGCGGGGCACGTGTATTATGCAAAAGCGACTCACCTCACCCATCTTTCTTTGCGCGGTTTTCAATGTCGCCGTCGCCCAAATTCAAGTCTACAATTTATTGTTTTGACACTTCAATATTCACTTTGGAACGGTTGATAAAAATCAAAGGTTATTTACGGCACTGCTTGCAGCGTTAGTAATGGTTGTGTATTTAAAAATCACGTAGCTTATCCTTTCGGGCTGCTAGCTAAATGCATCTATGTTATCTATCTAAGGTGACAGGCAACACTCTCAGTCATATAATCTTTATCCTCTGCATAGAATGGCTATTATAAGCCGTACCGATGAGCTGAGAGTGGATTTGATAGTCAAGTAATAGTTCATTCATTTCGTGCCAAAATTTCTAAATACGCTTGCAAAAAATATGAATAAAGGGCTTCGCGCACCTCCTCAGTCACTATCGAGGCTGTGGGAATTATTTCAGAATTATAAATCACAACTAGATGGCAGGAGTGGCTTCGATCAGATCTTGGTTGCGCGCAGTGTGAGTGGGCGTGGGGTGTGGTACGGAGATCCTATGGCGATCCCACGTCGCGGGGTGATGTGCGGAAGCAGTGTGGCGTTGACAACATGGATAAATACCGGCAGCTAACGCTACAACAAAGCTTTTTCAAATTAAAAAAGGTGACAACGTCCCCGTTTCATCGTTGACGAGCACGCGCACACCCGCGCACAAAGTTCCACGCTCATGAAAACTTTGTGCATAGGTCATGCGTCAGAGCAGTGTTCATCTTGCAATAAACGTATTTTTCAATCAAAGTCACCTTTTTTTGCGTTATGTTGTTACTGAGTCAGAAGTCGTCGTTTGAATATTTCAGGTTTCACAAAGGCTAGCATCAAGGTGAATGTTCTGCTCCAAATGCATCCTTTCTCAAAATGCTCTTTTTCTCAGAATTTTTCTTATTTTAGTATTTTCAAGAAACTTACCAATGTTCAACTGCTGTTTACTAAAGAACGGTAATAGTTTAGAAATGTATGTTTTTTTTCCAGATGAAAGAAGGTTAAAGCTTTCTTTTGGTAGGTCCCGTGCTTATACACAGTAGCTAGAGAACTAAATTTTCTGTGGGTCTTCAAAAATTTGTCAAAATAATCAAAAACGGCGGTGGTGGTGTGATGCCCTGATTTTTTTTTTTTTCTAATGGTAAATATGTTCCTCGGCTCAAAGGTCGTGAAAACTTGCCCTTTGCGTTTTACTCTGGAAGCGCAATCGTTGCTATCTCACCTTGGCGATCGAGGAGGATGTTGTTGGGATTGAGGTCTCGACAGATGATGCCCTCCTGGTGCAGGCAATCCAGCGCCGTAACCAGTTCGACGGCCCAGCATCGGACGAACGCCTCCGGAATACGAGCCCGGGATGCAGCCAGCGACAACTCATCCAGCTCCGCGAACAGCCGCGACACTGCGTTGTCGAATTCGACTGCGTCGGGTCGAACTGCTGACGACTCCGCGTTGCCCTCCGTGGAATTCTCGCGGGCCTGAGCTTCAACGTTTGCCATCACGCCGGTGTGCATTGCTTCGTCACTCGGGGAGGCTGCCGCCGGCAGGGCTGCATCGAGCAAAGACTCATTATTTTGACATGAGGGTTCAACTGGCATTTTTCCTTTCTCCTTTTGTCCCAAAGTCGAGCTGGAGTCATCCTGGAGGGAGGTCGATCCGGATGAAGATGCAACCCCGGGGTCACATTTTGCAGAGGCTGCACACAAAGATGAAGGCTGCTGCTCTTCCTCTTTCTCCGGCTGGCCGGGGAGCTGTAAAACATCCGGCTTGATAGACCTTTGAGGAGAGGTCATGACCTTAAGGCCCGGATGCAGCATGCAAGTTTCCCGTTCCTCTTGTTGAGAGTCAGCGGCCCCGCTTATTACGGGAAGATTGACCAAGAGGTCCGGCGGATGACCCTCATCCTCGACTGCCGCCTCTTTAAAAGAAATGACCGGCACTGACTCATTGGATCCTTTATCGCTATAATCTAAGCCCCAAAGTTGTGCGTTGTGGCCCTCGACTTCCGGAGCCAGCTCGGGAAGATCTCGAAAGACTTTCTGGGAGGCGGGTGGTTGCTGCTGCTGTTGCTGCTGCTGTTCCCAGTCTTGGCAGGTCACCTCGCTTGCGCTGTCTTTGCTGTCGATGCGGAAAAACTCCATGGGCGTGTGCTTGGACTGATCCAGAGACAGCGGCTCAGCCGAAGATGGCGACGAGCGTAAAGCATCGCCGGGGTCCAGCCCCTCACCATCCCGCCTCCCGTCACGCGGGTCTGCGAAAAAGCCGAGCTCCTGACGGCCAAAGGGCGACGACGGGCTGTCGTTGCTGAGCAGCGAGCGGCTCCGCGAGGAGGCGGTGGCCGTTCCGGTCGCCACGTCAAACGACACTTCCTGCTCGCTACTCGCATCGTCGTCCACCTCGAGAGCGCCCGGCTCCACTTTCTCCCGCTCGTACTCGTTGCAAAGTGTTAAATAACTGTTGGTGCACTCCTCCTCGGAGGTTGCGCCCGAGTCTGTGTGGGCGAGGACTTTTTTGCGAAGCCTGGCGAAGAGGCCGCTTTTGCAAGGAGAGGCGGCCAGGTCATCGACCTCCTTGTTTACATGCAGCGCAGAATCAGAAAAACAAGGAGCAGGTCCAGAGCTGGAACTCGCTGAATTCACAGCAGGTTGCGGCGCAGCATATTGCGGCGAGTGCACGGCTACCGTATGGCTCTTCTGGATGAAAGGAATGTCAAAGCTCTCCTCCAGATTGGAATTCCGCAGGTATTTTCCAATGTGTGACCACAGCTTTCCACCTGCAGAACAAGGAAAAAGGAATAAAAGTAGAGTCGATTTATTGTCAGGAAATAAATACAACTTAACGGTGAGTCGACGTACATTTTTTTTTGGTTTATTGTTTAAATAAATACAGTTCTCAAAATTGAAGCTGTAGGGCCTTTGCCGTTATATTATACTTGTTTGGAAAAAAAAAAATGTGACCGCACAGAAAATAAATCCACGGCAACAAATTGGGATAGAATTTTGAACACGTGTCTCGGAACTTGTTTCTGAAGTGGATTTCAAAAGTTTCCGCACCCCTCTTCAAATTAAACCAAGATAAAATGATTTCAAAGCGTAAATAAGTAGCTTCAAGCTGTTTCTTGCCACACCGGGTTGAAGTTGACTGTCAAACTAAACAACCACACAGCTTGGCCTTTCAGTCCACTCGCTTCATGCCAAAGCTCAGTGGCAACTAAGTTGTGGTGCTGAAACCATTTAAGTAACCACTGAAGGAGTACACATATAGACGGTATGACAATATGACAGTACAGTACTTCGGTCAGACAGTTTTTATCCTCCGCAAAGAACGGCTATTAGTGCCGTACTGATAAGCACGGACGAGTTGGTACATCTCAACAAGTGTAGCCATTTGTCTTCTACTGCTCCCTGATGGCCGAGGCATGCGCACTGGGATGAGCAGCACAACGGCTATTCATGTGATGCAGTGTGAAAAATGGTTGAATTCATTTTAGTTGTAGTTAATTGTCATTCCTTTTATGTTATGTAAAATTCTATTGAATTATGTAGTTACAGTAAATATTATGGAGTGAGGGCGGCCCGGTGACCAAGTGGTTAGTGCGTCGACCTCACAGTGCAGAGGTACCGGGTTCAATTCCAGCTCCGGCTTTCCTGTGTGGAGTTTGCATGTTCTCTGCGTGCCTGCGTGGATTTTCTGCGGGTACTCCGGTTTCCTCCCACATTCCAAAAACTTGCATCGCAGGCTGATTGAACACTCTAAATTGTCCCTAGGTGTGAGTGTGAGAGCAGATGGTTGTTCGTTTCGGTGTACCCTCCGATTGGCTGGCAACCGGTTCAGGATGTCCCCCGCCTACTGCCCGAAGGTGGCTGGGATAGGCTCCAGCACCCCCCGCGACCCTTGTGAGGATAAAGCGGATCGGAAAATGGATGGATGGATTATGGAGGGATATTTCCCCTCATTAAAATGCACATTACAACAATTTTTCAGTGGGGGAGGATGATTTGAGAATTGTATTTGCAACCACTTAACCAATTATTTAAGATAATGAATAAATTTTCATTAATTAAAAGGGATCAAATAATTGAGTTAACCAACATAGTTTATAGGTGGCTCTTGATAATGTAAACACTACTCTCCTGTTCTACACGTGTTGTCCAGGTGCCCTACCTAACCTTCAAAAAAAAAAAAAAAGTCTTCAGTTTATTTGAAGTGTTCACCAACACTCCGAAGCACCGCACGCCTCACGCGAGAGAGATGTAAGGAGGCCCAGGTGTTGGCATAGCTAATGAAGCGTGGCGCCACCTGGTATCAGAATAACGACCTGTGACACGCAGCCATCTCCATCAAACATCTGTCTGGGACAAGGGCACGCGAAGGCGAGCGCAAAGAGGCAGGCATTAAAAATAAATAAATAAAGCGTCTGACCCTCGGCGTGCTGCAGCAGCAAGAAGACGGTGTCCTCGGAGTCCATCAGCTTCTTGAGTCGCACCATGTGGGGCACCGAGCGAGGCGTGATGTTCTTCTTGAGTTGGCTGCAGTCGCTGCTCTTCCTCAAACCCTGATGCGGGCGGAAAAGAGGATTGGAGACATTTGTGGAGACGGATTGGCTTGGCTTGACACAGCTCTGCATGTTATTGATGCTTGTTGGTGACCTCTCAACGAGAGTGACCATTTACGGTTCATACATTTGTCTATTTGTGGATTTTGGGGTCACAACATGCAGCAGTTTGGCAAACAGAAATTGGTTTGTTTTTTTTTGCAGTCAAGGTTTCACAAAGCAAAACAAATAGAATGACAGGTCTGCTAGCTTAATGCTAACACATCATAGGAGACAACATAGACGGACGGGCTAAAAAAATGTCATTTATATGGCGACGTGACACTTGAAGCAAGAGATATTGGAACACAAACGTACAGCAAGTAAAGATACTGACAGGCATATATTCTTTATCCTCTGTGAAAAACGACCAATGACACTGCACTTTACTGAGTCACTTACAGCTGTGAAAGCGTTGAAACCTCTTATTTGTCTTACTATAATGCCACCCGGTGGCCAAGTCACGCAAACCAGAAGGACCGTCAATGAGTTCCTTGTGACGTACAAGCTCCTAAACTCTTTACATTCTCGTTAATTATGTCATGACTCCAAGACAGTATATGCGGATGGCAGTGTGGCAAAGGGGAAATCGACCATTATCCACTAATGCCAGCTATGCCCCAACTCAAAGTCACTGGCTCCCATCAAGCTACATACGTGCGGGTGACTTTCAAAGAGCCCCGCAACTATCACACATTAAGTTCACACTGGCAGCAAGTGTCCGCAGATATGTCGATAGATGCGCGCGCGTGTGTGTGTGTGTGTGTGTTTGTGTGTGCGTGCGTGAATCAATGTGAAGTCATCTGTGCCCGCGCCGCGCGTTGACATCTGGCACGCGTCTCACACCTGAGAGCAGAGGAGCTGACAGGGACAGGCCCATTAGAATCAATTACAGCGGTCACACACGGGGGCGTCTGGCACACTTCACACTCACAGTCAGGACAACCTCCATGCGGGATGTGCACGCACACACACACACACAAACTACAGTATACCGTACTTACTTTCATGACGAACATCTCTCGTGTTCTCTTGTCCATGACCAAAAGAACCTGTGATGGAAGAGTGTCATTAATCGGCAGGTCGTGAACACGAACACACACACACATGATGAAGATGACATAGCGGCCGTGTTTTCAATGACGGGCTCTTATTCCTCAGGAGAGGGTCAGCGCAAAAATAAATGTTGGTCCCTAAATGACACTGGAGGGGAGATTAACCCTTCAGGGCCTGCTGTGTTTACCAAGGCAATGTCACAGCCACAAAACATTGATTTAAGCACATTAGGGTGAAAATTATTAGCTGATTAGCCGACCAGATGGGCACAAACAAATGTGTTTGCGAGTCAATTATTGTGCAAAGACACCGAGCATTTCTAATTTAATTCTTCGACATTGTGGTCGTTGGTCGATTTGATCTTGGATTGACTTTTTTTTTTCCAGTTCGAAAAAAAAAAAATGAATAATCCAAATGGAACACATTTAAAGTGACTGACGACGCACAAACAGAACACAATTAGTTTGATGTTTTTTTTTTTTTTTTTTAACAGGATGTTAAATTATAGTTGGCATGACTTTACAAATATGAATTCATCATTTGGTGGTTTTCTACATACTCTGGAAATTTAATATGTTTGAAATATGTATTTTGTCCACTGTGAATGGGTGAAAGCGCATTTTAATGCTGCCATGTAAATCATTCAAATGCTGTTCCTACTATAGATTTCTACATGCAGAAAATAGGATAAAACCATTAGAATCTCTCACGCTTTAAAACTAAAGATTTGGTGTTTTTTATTATTATTCTTGATTATTTTACACTGGGATGATTTAGGATGCTGTATTTTTTTTTTTTTAATTCAGTCATTTTTTTGCATGTGTCGACCATTTCAAGAAGCGAGCAGATGTTACCGACATCATCCTTAAATCTCGTCCTTCCTTTGACGTGCCCTATCCGCCAGTATTACAATTTCCAAAAAAAAAAAAAAAAAGACGGCTGCGGTGCCACTCTGTGGTATCTTCATTTTCGCCTCTTTTCCGTCCCTAACATCATCATCGCTCTCGTGCTCCATCATCACCCTCTCCGGGGAGATCTCGAGCATATGTGCGCGACCCGGTGAGTGAGTCTGTACGTTGGAGGGGGGGTTGGGGGGGGCAGCAGGGTGAGGAGCTCTCTCCATCTGTCTCCTATGTCCCCATTAAAAGTGAAAGGCAGAAGGATGAGATGAGGAGGGGAAGGCGGGCACCATTTTTGGCGATTACTTGAATTGTGAAGCTGCTTTTAAAGTGATGGACTGCTGAACTTAGGCACATCTACAGCCTGCCGGTATTGTGTCAACATTCCCCTTTGGGTTTTTTGCGTGTGCGGCGAGTAGGATGAGCATCATTGATTCAGTGTTGTATGCCGCTCTCGGAGCCACTTGCCAAGTCATTTCATGGCTGAGTGGTGAAGCTGCTTCGCTAAAATTTCCAAAAAAAAAAAAAAAAAAGACGGCTGCGGTGCCACTCTGTGGTATCTTCATTTTCGCCTCTTTTCCGTCCCTAACATCATCATCGCTCTCGTGCTCCATCATCACCCTCTCCGGGGAGATCTCGAGCATATGTGCGCGACCCGGTGAGTGAGTCTGTACGTTGTGTGTGTGTGTGCATGTGTGTGTGTGTGTTTGTGTGTGTGTGTGTGTGTGGAGCCGGTGCGTTCTTTCCGTGTGACCCTGGCTGGGACCAAACAGGTGCAGGCTAAATGGATATGAATGGAGATGTGAGTAAACAGAGCGGTGGTGCTAGCCAGGGCGCTAATATAATTACTGCTGAACTTAGGCACATCTACAGCCTGCCGGTATTGTGTCAACATTCCCCTTTGGGTTTTTTGCGTGTGCGGCGAGTAGGATGAGCATCATTGATTCAGTGTTGTATGCCGCTCTCGGAGCCACTTGCCAAGTCATTTCATGGCTGAGTGGTGAAGCTGCTTCGCCGGCAGGTGGCTGACAGAACCAGCAACCCAAACTGACCTTGGTGGTAGTCATAACTGCTGCTAAACGGTTACGCACACACATACACACACACACACACACACGGACACACACGTTATCCCTCTCGATTATCAAGTCAATCTTCTATGTTTTTTTGCTCCTCAAAGATGGTTGAAAGAGGAGAGGAGACACGGAGACAGATTGTCCATATTTATCGGGACATGATTCAACTAATATAGAGTAGTGCACTCGTTGGAACTCGTTGTGAAGACCACGCGCGTGAGTGTTTCACCTTGACCCCTGCCATTTCACCAACTCTGCATTTATTTCTGAAGGACCAAACTAATGACTATTACATACGCGTCTATGTGTGTATACATTCTAAGCGAACAGTAAATCTACATGGGGCACTGTATTAAGGTTATTGTAATCGAGGCCATTTTTAACATTTTCGGGTGGGCATCGGTTATGAGCGAAATTCGCATCGCGGCTTCGTCCCTAACCCTGCGAATAGAGTAACGCCGTTATAAATAATAAGACAGAAATCATTTTTTTGAGCATCCTTTTGCTCATCACTCAAATGACCTTATCGATGACGCCCAACACCCTGTAAGCAGCAAGATCATCGGAAAGACTGGGCTGGCTCTCTCCGCTGGTGGACGAACAGCACTGCGCCCCCATCATCTGTAACCCAAACAGCGATTCAGGGAGATTCAATGTTCCAAAAATAGAGCAAGTTAATATTTGGCGACGGCTCACCAATGTCTGGGTAGACCCTTGGCCCATGTTGCTGCCAAGATGCTGACTGGATATTTGCTCCGCTCGCATCAGGTACTCGGCAGTCTTCTTCTTCACTGCCTCTCGCCGCGTGGGGCTGGGCTCACCTGTGGTGCGACGTTCGTTCGCTTACAAGAAGATGTTTTGACGTTTGTGACGGGAGCCAAAGGACGAGCACTCTGACCTTGAACACCTTGCAGCAGCAGGTCCACCCCGCTGCGGTAGAAGGAGAACGCCGCCCGGTAGTCGTGATCCTTCTCCTTCTGTGCAGCCACCCGGATAAGCTCGCCGGCTTTGTCCAAATAGTCGGCCTTCAGCTTTTCCTTGAGGCCGCCGGCTTTCTTGGAGAATAGCGACCCACGGCCAGGCCGGCTGACCTCCGGCTTTGGGGCCAAGGAGCCGGGAGAGGAGAGGGCGGGTGACGGTGGGCTGCAATGATCCTGAGCGGAGGGCAAGCGAGGACTGCTGCTGCTGTTGCTGCTAATGCTGGCGGCGCCCCCGTGCGGCTGCTTCGGGGAATTGCAGCCCAAGGCCATGCCATCATCGAGCTCAGCCAGTGAGTCCGTGTCTACAGCCAGAGAGACCAAGTCACTGCTCTCACTGGACGGGCCTGAAAAACGTGTGGATGGAAGAAACCTACCGTTACTTGACTATAAATAGCAGCTCGAATCCGATCGATGACAAGTATAACTCATATCTACCTCCATACTCGGACGTGAATGTCAAATCTTCTGTACAACTGAGGTGTCTTTGAACTGGAGAAAAAAATCCAAATGTCAGCAATAGGATAGTAAAATTAGCTTTTCTGCGTTCGTTTGTGTCGATCAAATTGATGGGAATTGATGAGAAATCAATGATTCAATACCGTTCCTTGATCTGATTCTTTATAAGTTGTCATGGAGTGAGGGACTTAAATAATACAAATGAGTTTGCTTGCTTTAACTCTGTAATATCTTCAACTTTGTATATGTATTTATGCACACATCATCTCTAATATATCCTATAAATGGGCAACTTGCTTCTCAAAGTGTCCAGAGACCAAAAAGATTGCAATGCAACACGTCACAGTGCCTTAGGAAATTGTCCACTTTACTTTAAAGAATGAGACTCTGCCAAAGGGTATCTCATAACTTTCATCGTCACTGCCAGAAGATCAGATCTCTTTTAATCCAACAGGTGTAGAAACTCACCTATCCAGAGTTTTGGTGTTCAGGCCAAAACCCTGAATATAAAAGCAGTGTATTGGCACCATCTTGTGGCAACTTGGTGCCAAGAAAATGCATTGAAGTGAGTGGAGGAGCTTCACTTGGGAAGAATTGTAAATATGACTACCTACCATCCGAGCTGGAGTCTGACAAAGTGTCAGCCAGGAATTCGGAGAAGGGCTCAGACGGTCCGATGAGCTCCGAGCTGTCGTGGACCTCACCGCCCTGGACAACACGTATTAAAATTGTGCTTTTGGATTGTGGTTCTGTGTGCATTTATTGGCACAGACGTCTTACCTTGAAGAACTCCTGGATGTGCTGGCTGCTGTACAGAGCGGGAATGTTGGCAGAGAATTGCAGCAGATCCTCCAAGCACTGTCTCCTCTCCTCAATCACGGAGTCATCGAAGCGACCTGAATGTGGCAGAAGAAATCCAACACACACTGAAAGAAGCCAAGAATCACGGCTTTGTCTGCTGTTTCAGTATGCTGAGATATTGGTTCTTACTGGAACAATGGACATTATGTTTTCGGTTATTATTTTGATCAATTGCAGCATTACTGAAAGACACAGAGCTGGTTTTAGGGCCACACCAAAAAAGAAAAAAAAAAAAAAAGAAAACATACCCTCATAATGAAATTATGAAATTAGGGAAATAAAGCCACAGTTACAAGAATAAACTTGTACATTTGTAGTATCAGAGTAAGAAGCAACTGTACTACTGGACAGACTTTTAGCACCAAATACAAGGAGGCAGAACAAACAGGGTTTAATTATTTGCAAACTTACTCTTCTTATCACTTTCTAGGTCATTAGGCCTACATCGAAATGTTTGGACATCGGAGAACCAAGATAGAAGCCATTAAAAATGTAAAAGGGGCCAATTACCGTGTCAATTTACATTCACTGTCAATAATAATGTAATCACTTATAAGTGAGCTCGGTCGAAGCATACTTACCAAACACTTTGGCCTTTGCAAAGGGAGGGAAAAGCTCCGATTGACTACAAACTTTCTTGTGCAGCTGCCAAAGGTTGTGGTGAAGTTTCCGAAAGTCGCTGTACCTCTTCCAAACCGTGATCTGGAGATTGAGAGACAGACAGCACAATGGGGTGGTGTGAATCAAAAAATAAAAGTCATAAAGCCGAGATCCGAGGGTCCAGTTGCTACTTTTCTTGATCACTCAGTCCCCTGTTGAAATCATCCTTTCTCAAGACTTCCAGGCAGTAATTGGCATCACGCTGAATGCATTAGCATTGCTTCCGTGTAAGAGTGGATTCCAAAGTGGACATCTTTTGTGAAAAGTCTAAATTCTTCTAAAGAAATGCGTCTCAGGGAATAATAGTGCAACCCAATAAATAATGAGTAATTTCTACACAAGTGATGTCACGGATTAAAAATCTTTATGTTTTACCTCTTGAACGTCCTCTGGGTTCTTCCGAGAAATGATCTGTGTGAAAACAGAAGAGGGAGAAAGGAGTCAGGATTATAATCCAATTGTTCTTGTGAGCGTTGACACAAATATGAGCAGGGAGGGTAACAATGGGTGCATTATTTAAAGTGAATACCAGGGAGAAGAGGGAGACATCGCCAATAAATGTTAAAGTGGTGAAGGTTCAAAAAAGATGAACTCTCTGATCAACTCTATCAGATTGTTCAATCGGTCATAATTTCACATTGTGGTTGGATAAATGACATTTGCTTAAATTATCAAATTGTATTTCTTCTGCGTTTCACCGCTACGCAGATTTCGTACGTCGGGATTTCTATTTACGTAAATTATCAATGACGTTTTTACATCTTGTCTATGTAGACGTAATTTCGGAATGGCCTTTCCTCGGTATTCCTGACACCCGCTACGCAATTTCGTATTTCGGAATATTAAAAATCCTGCATGTATTAAGTCGAACAAGCCATTCAGTCACATCAACTATAAACGCCACACTCCTAATTACATAATCCAACCTCCATTACACTCTTTCAGCGTAGTGTTACTCGTGTTCCTCAGTGAATCACTTTGCTACGCAGTTTACGCTTGGCTATGAGTCCGATTCATTTACGGTTGTGATGACACAATGATAATGACATAACCACCAAGGGTGGAAAAAAACACCGGTATTTTAAGGAGGAAAATAACCAGAGAGGGAGCGACACATAAAAATAACCACCAGTAGTGATATGGTGTCGTTGACATTCGGCGTTTACATCATATTACCTCGACTAGCTTAGCGTGAGCTAACATTGTCATTGTCACAGCTGTCGATTGTGCGGCAACCACTCACCCGCGCGGTGACTTTGTATACTGTGTAGCCTTTCCGGTGCTTCGTGGGTTCCGTGACGGTATAAAAACGAGCGAAATCCCCGCTGTCCCGCTGTGATATCATTATGCTAACAACATTGCCGAAAGCTAGCAGCCGGCTAAGCTGTCCACTTCCATTCAGTTTTGTAATGACAGCGAAATTCCAGTGGGAGTGAGAGCTCATTCCCTCAGCAAAATCTATGACGCACTGACATACAGTATGTGTGAGAGCACAGATTACAGTTATCTCCCTCTCACTGGCGAACATTTTTCCACTTACATACTACTCATTCATACACTCTCCAGTTGTACTGTATTTCCCCTCTCATAAATTACAGAAACGCTCTCACACACATTATCAATCATTTTGAAATTGTAAATGTCAGAGAGAAAGTATGACACCGCTCACACTCACTACTAAAACGCTCACACACACTCCTAGATTTATGTGTTCACACTCGACCAAGACACTCACATGTACTACAGAAACACCCACAAACTACCATTTTTTTACCACTCAAACGCACTACTATAGCACTGTCACGTACATTACTGAAAAACTTTTTCATTCACAGATACTACTGAAATACACTCTAGCAGGAGCATGATGGCCAGCGGGAATTTGGGAGAAATGTGTTGATCAAACCATGTGACGGTCACCCTCAACATCCATTCACTTTCGGAGTGTGATGTCTATATATCACCATTGTGTTGGTGGGCTCATGTGTGACATGAGAGTGTGTGAGAGGAAGTAACCCTGATTTGTTCAATTATTTCACATCTTGTTCAATTATTTAACGTCCCTGTCAAGTGAATATTCACATTTTTCTCCCTCTTTGGTCCTTCCTCTTCCACCTTCCCCTCCATGGTGTGCACACACTCAAATGTGACAACAAGGCACTCTAAAGCAGCCACATCAGTGGCTGTCACATCTAACTTTAAATAAATAAATAAATAAATAAATATCAGGACAGTTTAATGCCACAGTATACCTCCACAAATGAGTTACTACATAGTTGTCAGTCTTTGCACGTTTTCAGCAATCATCTTCAAACATGTATCATGATTTTTGAAACAAATCCCTGAATTAAGAAAGAACTTCACTTCATATGATTATATTGGTCCTATGTAATATTTCATATTAATCGAAAGACAATACAGTGAAACTCCTCTACAACGAAATCGTGTTTGCAGCAAGAAATTTTTCACAACAGGGGATATTTTTCACTGTAGCAAATTTGATATCAGATGTAAGCACGCACACACACACACACACACACACACACACACACACACACACACACACACACAAACGTACGTGTACATGCACACACAAATGTATGTGTACTCTAATTTTATTCCAATAGTGCATAAGTATGAGCACACACTTATTTGACACTTCATATTGTCAGTGTAGAAAGAAAAAAAAGGGAAAGAAATTGCGAAATTTACGATCAGCATTCACTTTCACTTATGCCAATTTATTGGATAATGTCTTTTATATAAACCAGTGTGGTGGTTGCTGTTGCCGTTTCCGAACGAAGCAGTAGAGGTCGCTGTTGGATTAGACTACGTTGTAGTGAATGTCTTCGCAACAGGGTTTTTTTTTCGTCGTATGGGGGGCAGGAGAATGGGAATGATGTGTTTTTTTCGTCGTATGGGGGGCAGGAGAATGGGAATAATGTTAATGTATGAAGATTTTTTCACATTAGGGGGTATTTTCGCCCATGTAGGTTTCGTTCTAGAGGAGTTTCACTGTAATCGAAAGACAATACAAAAATCATTCATCTACCTGTGATCATAATTAATATTGTAGTCCAATTGATAGCAATCACAATATTTGAAAATACAATGCATTTCATCATCATCGCAAACTACAACCACAATAAAATACGCATTGCATTTAAATGGATAGCCTCAAATTGAAATATACAGTATTGTGTTTTGTTGCTAAATAGAGAGGGCATCTTCAAGAAGAAGCCATCCAGACGAGCACCACCAGCACTGACACTTGATTCCAAATCCCGGATGTGCATTTGCTTGACCCGTTGCCTGTGTGCTCACAGTGGTAAGTTCGCGTTTCCATCATATCCCTGACATGACCGTAAGGGTTAACGTGGAACTGGCTCTGTCAGAAAAACAGAAACGAGAGCACTTACACATTACAGTTCACACAAAAACTATATGCAAACAATTTTCTCACATTTTGTTTCACTGATTAACGTTTTACAGAACAAATCCCAACGAGTCATACAACTGAGGTACATTCTGAGAATTACCATTATCATTTGGGAATGAAAAACGACACATGCAAACATATTATCTGAGCAAATAATGGTGGATTTTTGATTTATTTTAGCTCTGTTTAGTTTAGCATATTATTATGAAAATGACGATGGCACGGTAATGCATGAGATTTGTGCAAGTTTCCCACTAGTCTCTTGGAGTTTTAACATGAACAGAAACCATCCCAAGTTGCACTTACATCATTTGTGAATAAAATCTGAATTTGCGACAAGTTCTTCACCACGTTCTCATACTCTACAATTTCCTCTTGGTTTGAAACAGAGCCTCCCAGAGGGAACCTGTAAGGAATTCATAGCAATGATTAGACTCCCATGATACATATGCCTTGGAGGAGGTTTTGGGAAGGGCGGGTGGATATTTGTTAGCAACAGAAAGTAGCGCCGCAGACTCTCACTGGTGGTTTAGGTTTGACATGTTGGGCTGGCTGAAACATGCTACAATCTTGATTTTGGGGTAGAACAGCAGGAAGGCCAGGCACATCTCATCCGTGGTCGCCAAACCCATCTGCGAAAAGGAAGTATTCATAAAAAAATGTGCTTGTTATCATTGTCTTTTATTTTTTTTTAATTACTCGTACCTGTGTAGCCCCAGTCCTATCCGAAGTACTGTAGGAGCACTCCACCACAATATCATCTCCCTGCAGCAGATGAGACATCACATAGTCAAGAATTAATGACTCTATTTAACTACATAATTCTTTGCTATGCTTCAAAGTTAATTTTTTTTTATTGAGAAACTTTGCCGTTTCGATAACATTTTGTTTCTCCCCCCTTAGAGATAAGGTGAGAAGCTCGGCCATCCGGGAGGGGCTGAGATGCAAGTCGCTTCTCCTCCACGTCGAGAGGAGCCAGATGAGGTGGCTCGGGCATCTGATTAGGATGTGAGGTGTTCCGGGCACGTCCCACTGGGCAGGAGGCCCCATGGATGACCCAGGACACGCTGGAGGGACTATGTCTCTCAGCTGGCCTGGGAGCGCCTCGGAATCCACCGGGAGGAGCTGGAAGAAGTGGCTGGGGAGAGGGAAGCCTGGGCTTCGCTGCTAAAGCTGTTGCCCCAGCGACCCGACCCCAGATAAGCGGTAGAAACTGGATAGATGGATTTTGTTCTCCAGCAGGCACAGAAATGGTAAATAGATGAAAAGAAAAAAAAAAAACATAAGGAACAAAAAAAAAAAAAGCAACCCCAACCTAAGCTTCTTCAAAAGGAGCACAGTATGGATTTGGAAAAAAAAAACTGGGAGTCAACATTACAGCCTAGATGCAGTGGGCAGGCTTTGCAGCCATCAAGGTGCCACCACATCCCATCTGCAGCTGCGCCATAATAGTGAAAGGGAGGAGCGTTGGAGGGGAAGCTAAGGAATGGTTGATAGTGTTGTGTATTGCGTTTGTGTGATGGGTGTGTTGTTCACGTCACTATTCTCTGCGGGGTGTCAGTTTTTATTTTTACTTTACTTGAAGTGTCATGTGACGGAATCTCTCCCAGCAGGCGGGCTCACCGGTTTGATGGTCTTGATGCTTCCCAATCTGGTAATCTCTTGCAGGTTGAAGTCATAGTTCAGATTCATGGCGAGAAATCCCAATTGCTCTCCATTTCTATCCGCAGTGCGCAAAACTTGTCATCATCAACATCATCCAAGGCCGTTGTCGAGACCAAATCTCACTTTTCTTACCTGAAATGTCCCACTCGGATCTCTCTCCCAGCTGTATGAGTGTGCATCATCACAGCAAAAACTTGCAAGTCCGGCACAGGATTGACGATCTGGATAGGTGGAAATGTAGAATTAGGAAAGTAGAAATACCCTGCAGGACAGTCGCATGACACAACAACACACCTGAGAAATGAGACTGGTGTTACACACGCCATAGGTGCGGAATTTAGTCGCTCGAGGAGGAATGTCGTAGTCGATATGACGAGACGGTGACACGCCCGTGGATAGGATTCCGACATCATGCGGTCGCAATTGGTCTGTGTAGTGCAGCTTTAGACCTGAGCTGTCAATCCTGCCTGTGTGTACACAGACAATAGCCAACAGTGAATGAGACCAGTTTTAGGCGTGAAGCACAAAAACAACCCAGATGTCTCGAGGAGGAATGTCGTAGTCGATATGACGAGACGGTGACACGCCCGTGGATAGGATTCCGACATCATGCGGTCGCAGTTGGTCTGTGTAGTGCAGCTTTAGACCTGAGCTGTCAATTCTGCCTGTGATAGACAGACAAGTGAATGAGACCAGTTTTAGGCGCGAAGCACAAAAACAACCCAGATGTTACAGTGAGATTCAAAACAGAAGCTTCACCATACGTGTCATCACTTGCTGTCAAAGTTGTGTACCTGATACGTTGTTGAGGTTGCTGTAATGGATCTCCAGCCTGTAAAACGCAACGTCCTCCCCACCTCCGATGGGAATGCCGGTGTTTTCCGGCAGCTCAAAGATCTGCGGCGGCGAATGGATTGATCAACACACCATGGCGTAAGTCAAAGGAGAAAGGCGTGAGAAAATTCACATGGTGGACGCCCGACCTGGCTTCCCACAGCCCAAGCGCCAACAATGGCATAGCAGCGGTCCCCCGAGTGGCCCTGGTAGCATTCGCCGTCATAGGCGGTCGTCACGGATGACGGGCAGCTGTAGAGCAGCATGTGGTGGACCAGATCACGGTTCTCAATCACCGGCTCAAACTGAAATGAAAATGCGTTGCTCATGAAGAACACATTGTTGTTGTTGTTGTTGTTTTCGACTTCATTTTGTCAAATTCAATCTTGATGGATGTAAAGAATTTCAGTTCAAGTGTAAAATGTAAACATAATGGACCATGTGATGGGAAATGAACTCATGTAGTTCTAATAAATTAACTCCAAAATGTCATTAAAACAGTGCTGAAATAAAATAAAATTAAATTAAAATTAAATTAAATAAAGCTATCACTATGATGAAAATGACATTTTAAATTTATTTTAAAACAAAAGTCTGAATGTAGTACCGGTACAATTATTTTCTGGAAGTAAAATATTTAATGACTGGCCAATTCGTGTTAAAAGAATAAAAGCGAGTGATGAATGACACTGCCCTCCATAACTCTTGCCCCCCCCCTGCTTAAGATCTAATTTTTTGCTTCTTCTAAATTCAGTTCTTCAATCTAAATAATTTCAGTCCAAAATTTCAAAAGTGATTTTCAATGGGGTTGAGGTCTGGGGACTGAGATGGCCATAGGATGAGCTTAATTCTCCATCCGGTGAACCATTTCTACAATTTTCAATATGACAGTCAATACTTCAGCAATAAAAGTTGAATTTATTTGAAGACTTTTAATATATCTTAATCACAGGTGCCAATAATTACGACATGACTAAATACACTGACAATAACATCCAATAAAATAACGTGATCTACTTTTTTTTTTTAACCGTCGACTGATGCACCACAATATATTTCAACAAGTGATGATGGATTCAAAATATGAATATTAAGCAAGTGACCTGAATTATGTGATGCTTGGTGACGAAGGTTGGAAACTTCATGACCCTGCAGTGGTAATAAGTGTCCTGCGGAGGGATAGTGATCTGCAAAAAAAAAAAAAAAAAAAAAGGAAGAAATAATAATAATAATAATAATAATACACACATATATATGTTTTGCAACACACATTATATTTGTAAAGTCAGAATGAAAGCATGACATCATTCCTACGTTTTCCATTGTAGCACTGATGTAGTTTCCTTTTGCCGCAGTAGACCTGGTGACATAATTCAGTAGGTTGAGTTCTTTGGAACCGGCGAGAGCCGCATGGAACCCAATCTCATCCGTCAATCCGTAAGCATATATCAGCTTCATGGGTTGGGCCTTGAAAATTCCACACAGATACGCGACGGCATGAACGCAAATTGCAAAACAATTGCCGTTGTAAGACAACATTGTGAGACAACAGCAAGTAACCGTCCATGTAAGCTTTTCTTCACCAAAACCGGGTTGGATTACGGACATTCAAACGAGAACAAACGGTGTTGCTATGGCGCTCGCTCATGTCGCACTGGACGAATTAATGTCATCTTATGGATGTATTCAGTGGATTGCAACAGGAGAAGACCCAGAAACTGAGGTTAGATGAAACTTGAGCTCGACGATGGACAATTAAGTCCTCAACACAATAGAATGAAACTGCAAAATGCCTGAATTGAAAGCTCCATGGTGGGAAACAACAAACAACACGGACTCTAAGTGAGAACTTGCTTTTGGCACTTATGACAAGAGCTGACTGAAAATTTATATTTATACATAATAAAAGGGGCGGCCCGGTGATCCAGTGGTTAGCGCGTCGACCTCACAGTGCAGAGGCCGTAGGTACAATCCCGGCTCTGGCCTTCCTGGGTGGAGTTTACATGCTCTCTCAGGGCCTACGTGGGTTTTCTCCGGGTACTCCGGTTTCCTCCCACATTCCAAAAACATACATGGCAGCCTGATTGATTGAACACTCGAAATTGTCCCTAGGTGCGAGTGTGAGCACGGATGGTTGTTCGTCTCTGTGTGCCCTGCAATTGGCTGGCAATCGGTTCAGGGTGTCCCCCCGCCTACTGCCCGAAGGCAGCTGGGATGGGCTCCTGCACCCCCCTTGACCCTTGTGGGGATAAAGTGGATCGGAAAATGGATGGGTGGATAAATAAATAAGCATCTCCCACTCCTCACGTTTCTGATTGCTATGTCTAGTTCAACAGGTGGAAGACACAAAAAGAATTCGGAGTCCTACTTACAGTGATGGGGAGATCTTGGTGGTCACAAGTTTGCAAGGCCCTGGAAAAGGTCATGAGAGTTTGCCCGTCGCTCTCATTGAGGGCCAGCAGAGTGTAGCTCTGCTGTTGGTCCTCGATGGGGTAGCTGTTTTCTGTGGAATAATAGTCCTACAGGGAGCAAAACTCTCGCATGAGATAACAAATCTGGCCTCATTTTAATCCCGTGACTTACTTTAAAGTAGTTTCCGTCAGGACCGACTCCCCCCATGACGAGATCGGCCCCGATCATGTCTCCGTTGGGACTCAGGCCGAAGCCGATCCAGCCGGTGGTGTTGACGATGAATTTGAACGTGATGTTTCCCTGCTGGTCATCGAATCCCCACTTGATGCAGACCAGGTGGTCAGTGTCCAGGTAGTCCATGAAGGGCAGGCTCGGATCTGACGCCTGTGCTGCTTCAGTCCAGATCAGACACAGGAGAGGAAGGAGAGCGAGCATGATGTACTGCTGAGACTCGAGTGCTTTGGACTGAGCCAAAAAAATACCCTCCTGGCCTTTTGACACACCTGCAGTGCTAGATGAACCCACGTGATACGTCCCCTCCCAATACCGTAAACTACACCCTTGGCCAACTCCCTCACGATCATCCCAACCATCATCTATCATTTCTATAGTCTTGAAATATGAGCAGGAGTTCAGAAGGGATTTGTGGGTGGCCCGCACATGCTCCATCTGCCCAATGGAGCACTCATTGCCTGGGACAGACAAATTTTCTTTTTCGATCCAATAATTATCAATGATTTCATCATTATCATTTTTAAAAGTTTAATTTTGTTCATTTTTAAAGTGAAATATTAATTTTATATGCAGTAAACAGAACTAACGTTAGGATTTTATAGTGTGGTTTTAAAGTAAGGTTAGGGTTTCTAGGTAGGGTTTTAAACTGGGGTTAGGGTTTCCAAAGTAGGGTTACAAACTAGGATTCGATTTTTATAGTCGGTTTTCAAACTAGGTTTCGGGTTTCATAGTAGGCGTTCAAACTCGCGTTAGGTTTCATTGTCGGGTTTAACTAGGGTTAGGCTTTCCAAGTAGGGTTTCAAACTACGGTTAGGGCTTCAGGGTAGGGTTTTAAACTAGATTAGGGTTTCATAATGGGGGTTCAAACTAGGTTTAGGAATTGAATGTAACATTTCCAATTAGGGTTAGAGTTTCATAGGAGGGTTCGAATTTGGGTTAGGGTTTCAAATTGGTGTTTGAAACTAAGGTTAGGAGCTGAACAAAACTGTTGGGTTGGGGTAGGTGTGGGATTAGAGTTTATGTGTTGATTTAGGTCAGGGTTTGGGTTTCACGTCAGTAGGGATGGGCAGACTTGCATCGTTTTACTCATCCTCCAGGTTAGGGTTATGGTAAGGATAAGGGTGGGGTTCTTGTTGGGTTTTAGGCAAGCATGGGGTTTGATGTTAGCGTAGGGTTTGAGATTTTTGTTTTTGGTTTGGTTTTTATTTTAGGGTTATATTACTCGTTTTTAAATTCGGTCTAAATTTCGTTTTAGATTGCTGAACAACAGTGGCCTCAGGATTGACCCCTGGTGAACGCCACAGGCCATAGCCCCTGGCAATGAATTCTTAAAAAAAATAAAATAAAAAATCCCCCCCCCACACACACAAAACAAGCTACAGTGGTTTGATATATAAAACAGTTCATTTAAAATGTTTGAAAAGTCAGCTTGATAGTTTGAAGTGACGGGCACCGCTAACATCGCCACTAATATTGCCGTCGTACAAACGGATGATGCGATTTCTTACACGAGCACAGTCGGTTAACATTTACACTTGCATGCAACACTTGACAAAATCATGAGTTGGCAAAGCGTGACCCTCGCAGAGTGGACCTCTAGCATGAGTGTGTTTCATTGTCTCAAAGTGGAATGGTTTTACTTGGTGTTTTTGGGTGACATCTGGATGAATCTGACATAGGTAACATTCAAAACGAGGCTCAAATCTGTAGCCACAAATGGAAAAAATGCATTCAGCGTGCCCGTTATCCACTTCATGAAAAAACAACACTTTGGACAATGCTAACACTTCCCTGAAGAGCTTCCCTTTTGACCTGTCAATCATCTGCCTTGAGGAAGCCACAGCGTTCAGGCCTCGACAAAAGTATTGGGACATGTTGCGGTATTGGCGAGGACGAGGAAAAAAAACTATTATTATTTCGTCCCAATACTTTTGTCCATCTCCATAAGACACAATGCATTTTGCTTTGTAATGTCCCGAAAACATGCCAGAGTACATCTTACGCAATGAAACCAGAAGACACTTGACTAGCCAATACATTCTGCAAGGAAAACTTGGTTGAGTTTGTGCTCCAGGTTGGATCAAGCTAATTTCCACTAGCCTGTCAGTGGAGTTTCAACTGTATGTTAGCATTAAGCTACCTGCATTTTTTTTGACAGTGAGACAGTGACAGGTGCCAAGCAATGCTTTAACAAGTGCGTTGGTAAATGTGTTCAAAGCGTGTGGGAGGGTAAAAGTACACACCAAAATGATCTATTCTTTTAATTTTTGTGGATTTTCATATTTTGCGAGATGTTCTGGAACATATCCGCTCCATGATAAATGGAGGTTCACTATCTATGTCGTATTTGTTTTTCGGAATCCTGGTGGACGTTTTCACAGATTGGCCAGGATACAGCTCGTCACCGTGCATACATTGCGTCTGTGTCTTTCATGCATGTTGACGGCGGACTTTCCAGTAAGGCACACGTGGGCGAGTCCTCAGGGGTGAGGAGCCGCCTCTCAGTCATCGAGGGCAAGAAAAAAAAAAAAAAAATTAAACGTCAACATTCATCTTCATCTCAGGTGCGAGGGAGGAAAACTGAGTGGAAACATACAAGGCATATGATGCGTGGTGAGAGATAAATAAATAAATAAACTGTAATATTTCAAGCACATTCCTTATTTGTGTGTGATTCGTTGCCGAGGATCCTCTTTCATCTGATGCAGATGTCTGGGCCTCGTGGGTAAATTGCTAGTAGATGAGCACAATTCCATCTATTGCTTTCTAGATTTACCATTTCTTGTGTTGGCGTCTTGCTTCTGATGTCAACCACAATTCAGGAGGATTTCATTCAAACGCAGATCAATTAGTTGGACATTGGCTTAGCTTTTATATGTCATCTATTAATGTTTTGTACCATGGCGGCCATCTTTGTGGAAGGTGTGTATCACATGCGGCGGCCATCTTTGTGAAACTTGTGTATCAGATGCGGCGGCCATCTTTGTGGAAGGTGTGTATCAGAAGCGGCGGCCATCTTTGTGGAATGTGTGTATCAGAAGCGGCGGTCATTTTTGTGGAACGTGTGTATCAGATGCGGCGGCCATCTTTGTGGAATGTGTGTATCAGGCGCGGCGGCCATGTTTGCGGACTGCATTGTAGTGTGTCGACCATAAATTAAATGTGTGTTTATCGGCAAAGTGTCTGAGGAATCATGTCGGCCATTTTGGGGGGAATAAGTTGATGCATGGCGCCCATATTTGTGGAGTGATTTTCCTCATGCTGGCCATGTTTGTGGCCGTGTAGGATGCACCACCTTTTTACTTTTTGTACAATTTCCTACTTACCTCTCATAAGAACACGTCTAAGGTGACTGTATTGGCACAGAAATGATGGAAGCAAGCTTGCAAACGTCACACTACCTTCTTGATATGAACTAGTGCGGAAATGTGTTTTTTGGGCCTCATTTGGGATTTTCAACAACAGCAACCTCCAGCCGGTGGGCAAAGTCCGGGCTGAGGCCGTTGAGGAAAAGGCTGCCATTTCTGGTCAGGGCCCCCGGCGTGAGGGAGAGAGTCAAGTTGGCGTATGCCTCGCGGTCCTCGCCGAGGTTGGCCGACAGTGTCCGTTTGCCAGGCGTCATTTCCTGGTTCATGGAGGCGTTGATGCCCAGCTCCGAGGACAGTTTGCGCTTGATGGATGCGGCGCGCTGAAAGCGGTCGTAAATGTCCACGCTCAGCCGCCGTCGGGTTTCTTTGAACTCGGCCGACACGTTGGCCGTCCACTCGGCGGCGTGAGCCCGGAACTCGCCCACCTGCGGCGACAGATTGACAAGTTAGTCACAACGCACGCTTGCTCGCGCGCCCTGAGGCTGACATATGCTAAGCACAGGACCCCAAGGGTGCTGCAGGGCTCCCAGCTGACCATTCAAATCAATTTAATATTAAAAATCGTCTCAATGGTCGCCAAAATGTTTATTTACTATGATATAAAAAGTGATACTATTGATAAAAATTTAATAATTGTGCTCGGCAGATAGTGTGGGCCGCTGTCCAAAACTAAAAATAACAACTCATTAAAAATGGTGTAATGCTTAGTGTGTGTGGATGTATGTATGGCTGTATATGTGTGTGTGTATATATATTAAAAACAAATTAATTAGGCCAAAAGAACGTGTGAATGTAAGGAACCTGACAAAGAATAAGTATTCATAAGAGCAGGATAGTATAATGGCAATGATGAATAAAACGCTTCGATTCATTTCCAACCCCCCCCGCACCCCCACCCCCGTTGAGTCCATCCATGAAGCCTCATTAAAAAGTCCGACTTGGACAAGGCTTAACCAACACGTACGGAAACCCGCATCCTTTAATGTGTTTCACGTGCTCGCTCCGTCTCGAGCGCCCTATTAATTGAGGCGCTCCGTCGGGTCTCTGCGGCCTGTTTATTTATTTACAAGGCTCTGACGCGTGCTCGGTTAAAGCTTCAGCCTATTTAGGTGAGAACGTATGTCTCCCACCCACGCGTCTCACACTGTTTGAGCGCGTGCTTCCACCTCCTCATTCTCACTTTGGATATCTTGGAATTCACAGCAGAACGCCCCGGCAGGGAAAGAAAACCTAATTGGGCAAACAGCAATTCCCCAACGGGGGGAACCGTGGAGACACAAGCAGTTGTGAACGCAAAGAGACAGCCCGTGGATGTACAGTACGGTACCGTGCGATGCTCTCTCTATACAGTCCGTCATGTAAATAAATGATGAAGCTGCTGCGAGCGATGATGTGCATTATTTTTACTCTACAGCATGCGCGGATTGTGTTTGAAGGCAATAATTGTATCCCGCAAAGTCACATCTGCTTCCCACGGTTTTCTATCAACTTGACCCAAATAAATATTCATTTCAAACAACCGGTATGGTAGTGACCTGAACTCCGTTCTTTTGTCAACAAGCAAAAGGGTGCCGCATTGTCAACGATTATTCACGAAAGGGAAGGTTTCAAGCTGCCTCTTGCCCTTCCCAGATGAGGTTTACTGTCAAAGTAAACGTCAAACAAAGGCAATTGCGCTTTCCGCATAGAAAACAACCAAACAAGCGCCGAAAGAAAGCCCACCTGTTAGCTTAAGGCTAGCATAAAATGGAAAACGTCATTGACATGCTAACGATTGGCATCGATAGTCGCGGTTTTGGAGCCCTTTAAGAAACACAGGGTTGAACATGTTGACAGACAATATCATATATTCTCTATTCGCTGTGGGGAAAAAAATTACACTGTTTTTTCCAAACTAATTTCACTTTACAGGGTCTTTAAAAGCCCTTCATATGGCTTTAATGTGACACATCCTGCCTATTATGATGAGAACAAAAATCAACACACATACCTCTTCCTTGGTTTTCTTGGAGATGACGCGGAACCAGTCCCCGATCATGCTGAGCACGGCGGCAAAGTAGGCCAGACCCACCAGGATCCAGAACCACACCACCGGCTTGTAGTACTTGAGGTACTCCGGGCTCTCGGAACCTCCTGCACAAGCATAGCAGCACGCAGTTAGCGAAAAAAAAAAAAAAACGCGAATCAAACTTTTTTTGTTCTTATGTAAGTTCTGATTCTTAATTCAGGAAATGAGGAGACAGCGAAGAACGTACGTTTAAAAAATAGATATATAAATATATATTTCCAGTAAATGAGCGGAGTTCATGAGAAGAGTAGAGTGCAGCATCGTTCCTTCAATAAAAGCCGTCTGGCACCGACTGAGTCATTTGACGTGACGTAAGTGGCCCATTTTGAACGTATGCCAAAGTGGAGCTGGCGCAGTTAGGCAGCATTAAGCGACAGGTGAGTTGACTTTTTTTTGAATTGACGCTGTCGACACACACGCTAATCCATATTCATCAGGCCCGCTCGGGAGAATTTAGTCACATGGCTTAAGTGTTCCTTTGCTCCCCGCCCGACAAAACTTCCCACCTGCCGCTCTTTGCTTTCTGGAGTGTCAAAGTGCAATGAGGCGGTCTTCAGGCGACATTCAAAAGACATTTAAAGATTTGAAAACAAATAATAGGATCTTAAAAAGAACTCTAAAATGTATCGGGAGCTCCCTGTTTTGAGTACCAGTCAAGAGGCAAGCAACAGTATTCTGGACCAACTGGAGATGCTTGATGGAGGATCGGCTAACTACAGTAATCCAGCTGGGATGTGACGAAGGCATGAATTGTTGTTTCAAAGTGCTGATGAGAAAGGAGAGGCTTGACTTTTGCAAGCTGCCTGAGATGAAAGAAGCTGAATTTAACAGCACCAATTTGCCGGTCCAATTTCAAATCACTGTCCGGTTTAAGACCCAAGTTCGAGACTGTTGGCTTAAGATAAGGAGCAGGATGAGAGGAACAAGGGCCACTGGCACCAAACAACAGCCTGTCATATTATGTAAAAGAAAAATGGCTGGGATTTTTTGGATTTTTTTCTTAAATGTTAAATGAAAAAATATTGTGATCTAGTTAAGGTTTTTATCATTTTGAAAACATGTCATCAATTTATGGAAAAAGTGTAATTTACAGGAAATAAAACAGAATTACACTGAAAACAAATCTTAATTTGACAAGAAAAACGTTACAGTGTTCATTATTATAGTGTTCTATTTTTTTGTGTCATTTACAAGAGTAACTTTTTCATCTCAGGAAAAAGTGGATGTTTTAAAAAAAAAGACGTTAAAAAAAAAATCAGCTTCATGAAAATTTATAACCCACAGTTGTGGTTTAAGAAAAAACTTGACATCCGATATAAAAATGTGATTAAAATTAATTTTTTGGGGTTGTGATTTTATGATATGAGGTCAAAAAAAAGACATAATTTTGCAAGAAAAAGTAGGAAACAGAGAACCTTTTTCCCCGGCGACGAAATCTCCAAATCCGATGGTGGTCAGCGTGATGACGACGAAGTAGATGGACTCCAGCGTGCTCCAGCCCTCGATGTGCTTGAAGATGACGGCCGGCAGCGCTACGAAGATGAGGCAGCCGAACAGGATGAACAGCAACGTGGAGATGACGCGGATCTTGGTCTGGCTGACTTTCCACTTCTGTGGGCGGAGACAACCAGTGAGAATGACACCGGCGAGGAGTTGACTTCACCGGAGCGGTCGCATTTGAACGTCACTTTGATTTTATGTTCCGACAGACTTGAATTTTTCTTTTTTTTTTTTTAATTTTGTTCCCATGCCTTTTCTCTGTGACATGCATGCACTCGGGGCCCGCAACGAGGCGCTCTAAAGCGGTCGCACGTTGGGCGACTCGTGCTAGACTCCAAAGTCAGCCAAACAAACAAACTGTTTTAGCTAATGTAAGGCGGATTAATGCTACAGCTCCATAATTCACTCATACATAGTCCTCAATTTTTGCGCATTTTCAACAAAAATCTTCAAACATGTATAATGTATTTAGAAATACTTTACAGGGTCTTGAGTCTAAAAAGGCGACACTGTAGGGGGTGGGGCTTAGAGGAAGACAGGATCTTGTTTTTTGGGGGGGTGGGCATTCACGGGCAAAGCCCCCCACCCCCACCAGTGGAGCCGACAAATTGTCAAATCCTCTGATTTCAGCCTCTCAACAGTAATATTTCTTTGACATATGATTATCTTTTGTGTTTAATTAAAAAAAAAAAAGACCTTGGCAAACACTGCTTTTACTTTGGAAAACAAGACAATAACCAGTAACAGAAAACCGAATATGTCCCTCTTGTGTGATATTGCTTAAATGTTGTTTTGTGTGTGTGTGTGTGTGTGTGTGTGTGTGTGTGTGTGTGTGTGTGTGTGTGTTTTTAATCACTAAATACCAAATAAACAACAATGATTGGTTCATGACCAGTAAAATGGGGGAAAATAGTTTTGTAAAACACTTCAATGCAAACTAACATTTTTATCATATGAATAAACAGAAACATCGATTTTTAAAATATTAAACGCTGACAGCCCTAATTTGCATTGTAACGTGTATACAAAGTCACATCAACACAGAGTGCATTCATCTCAATTGTATGTTTGTTCCATTTGATGTGACCACTTTTGGGGAATAATTTGCTGACAGGACAATAACTTGGCGCAGCTTCTTCCCCCTCCAACCGGCCGAAACGTCACACGACTAACAGCGCAAAATTTCGCGGCTCTACCTTGGAAGAAAATGATGCGCCTCACCGATTGAGGTCTCTCGGCGCCGTCTTGCGGCACAGATCACACACCACTCTCGGTCTTTCCTTGCGCGGTGCGTATTCTTAGCAACCGCCCCCTGCGCCCCCAATTATGTAAGTCACAAAGCAAGCGTGAGAGCGGCAGGCATAAACATATGATGAAGACGACGAGAGGAGCGTCGTTCCCGAGATTGAGATTTTCGTGCATTTAATGTGACCCCCCCCCCCAAAAAAATAAAAAATTTAAAACGTAATGAAAAATACAGAACCATCGCCCCACCCCTTCAAAAAAATAAATAAATCAGCTTGTGAATGTCACATGATCAACTGTGATGTCATTTTCAGTCGACGGCAAGTGTCAAAATGGCCGCCGCCCGAGATGGATATAAAAACGGTTGCATTTTGCGATATGAATCAAAATGCCGCGTTTTGACTCGTGGGGTCGCATACAGCATATTATTGGAAAGACCATTTTTGACCTGACCATGAAGTAAAAAAAAACCCAAAACAAAACAAAAAAACTTACATTGACTCTAAATGCAGCGTTAAACGTTCACACTGTGCATAATGTAAAGTGCTTTAAATGAAAATGAAATATAACTTTTTTTTTTTTTTTTTGCTGAACGGCTAAAGTATTTTAATGTGGTTCGAACATTAGATTTTTTGGGTGGGGGGTGATAAAAATTGAGAATGGCCTGTTGGGAAGACCTGTACATTCATATGACTTCATGGAATAAATATTCGAATATAGGTTTTAAATGTCAGCCTACTTCATTGAATTCATCTTCACCGAGTCCTGTTTGACATTATATTGTCCTCATTCCAAATTGAACCAACTTCTCCCCAAGCGACCAGATGGCCTTTTATCCATTTATGCGTGTTAATTCATTTTTAATGTCAAACATGACTAATTAAACCTGCTAAAGTGTTCTTATTTAAAAAAAAAAAAAAAAAAATCAATGAAATAAAAGCCCATGGAAGATGTCATCCATGTGTGTTATCGTTAAACTTCAGCTACACAAATAAAAGCCCAAAAATCCCCATCAGTTGTCATTTTCAAATCAGGGGGATCCGTCTGTATTTTATTTTGGTATCCCGGGAGTCTGTTGGCATGGCAACAAGGAAACCTGCATGCACCGCTTCCGAAAAGGCTGGAGGAGGCAAACGAGAGACTCACCACTATCATCTTCTCCACTCTGGCGATCCCCTTGCCAAATATGGTGCCCAGCTGGTCGCCCACGCCCGCCAACAGGAAACCAAAGAGGGGGATCCCCATCAGAGCGTAGATAATGCAGAATATCCGCCCGCCTTCCGTGTGAGGGGAGGTGTTGCCGAACCCTGTCGGGGGACCACGCAGCTTCCTTTTTATTCAAGTTGAAACGCAAGATACAGTCTTATGCCTCAGCCAGGTTATTTGCAGCTGATTCGGTGTATTGTTAAACCGCAATTAATGATGCGCGAGCGCTGTTTTAATGCAGTCCCTCTGTCTGTCAAAATGACTTCAGGGCGACCCGTAATGACTTTGGGGACTGGAGTGACACTAACTGGAAGAAATTGCTTTGAATGGCCGAGTGTTTCTTGTTCTGGGGGTCGGCTGCTGGCAGCAAATAAAGGAAAGAAAGGAAAACAGAAACTCTCGTGTCAAAAGTGCACTCGAGTACTTTGGCGGCGAAACCAGTCGGCTTCTTTTCAAACAGTCAAGTGGCAAGCGATTGATTCAGCTCAAGTTACGCACTTGAATGGGTGCAACTGCGCAATGGCTCGAGAGTCAAGACGACAAACGGGATCAAAATAAAGACAACAATGCTACATCATGCTTCATTTATCGCGGCTTCACTACATCGCGTTTTTTTTTTTCCCCCCCAAAAGTACCGCATTCCGAAAAAAATGCCGAATGACTCCGAGGTTTTGTACATGACTGGATACACGATCGGTTCCTGGCGCGACATCGGCCAATGACAGCGCAAGTGGATTTATCCCGTGAGCTGATTGGCTGCGTATCTTCGCAGCCCCGCCCACCACCTTCCCGGTTGACTCTCTGATCAGTGTCTCCCTCAAGCTGTTGACTCTCTGATCGGTGCCCCGTCATGCTGTTGTGTTTGCTATGTGCTCAGCAGAGAGAGAGAGAGAGAGAGAAAGCAAAAGCAAAAGTAAAAGCGAAAAGTGAGCGCAAGCTAGCAAGAGAGAGATTGGGCTTGTCCGAAAAAAGCAACACGGCTCTTTTCGCCTCCTCCTCATCAATACCGATGAATTGTCTTATCATAAATACGGGGGAGATCGCTGGCCAGGAGCTAGCTTGAGGCTAACGGCAGCTACGCCGTCAGAGCGCACCTTCGACGCCACAAACACAAGTCTCTTTGTCTCTCTCAGATCTTTACATATTTTAAACACGCTGGTACTCACATACACTTACAAAAAAATTCCTAGCGGGGGAGCCAACCCTCCTTCGTGGTTTTTCACTTATCGCGGCAGGGTCCCCATTAACCGCGATAAGTGGGAAACACTGTAGATACGATAATGACCTTCTCAATAGTAAAGTTTGTCGGATTGCTCATTTGCGCCACACAAGGCCAAATTCAGCATAAAATTGCGACAGGCACAAAAGCACTTGCCGATGAAGCTCACCGATGGTGGTGATGACAGTGCCAGCAAAGAAGAACGAGGAGCTGAGGTCCCAAAGGCTCGTCTGGTTGGAAGAGTTTCCTGAGGGATTCACACCTGCTCGGATGGCGGAAACCACTTGCTGGAGCCGGGAAATCAAAATAAACACCGATAAATGTTGAACAATGGAAAGGTGGCGTCGGCGGCGGCGGAGGTCGTGCATGAGTCCTCGCGAGGATTGCTTGACAGATGATGAAAACATCCAAGCAAAGCTAATTAAGAGCAGTGGAGAACAAAAAGAGCATCTGGCTGCAGGCTTAAGAGATGCTTTGGCAACAAAAGTAGCAGGAACCTTTGGTTTTACGTGACACCTTGCAGTAACACAAAAGAGTTTTTCCTCAAAGTTATCAGGCAAGCAATTAAAAAAAAAAAGGTCCTCCACAAGCCTAATGGCAAACGATTGTCAAAAAATGTGTAGAGCGCCGCCTCTGGCCTGGCATGGATACTACAGCGTTTCAGCAACTTGGTGTGGACACGCATTATTGAAACCATTTCACGGGGAACTTTTTTGAAATGAATCAGAAAAAGATCAACTGCGTTTCCACGTGATCGGGGATTAAGTGGTGTCGCTGTAATGAGGAATTCGTCTGTCTGCCGCCTCTTCTTCAGATAAAGGTTTGGACAACAGTCCGCTCAGAGTGATGCGATCCATCCAGTTGTTCGGAGTCCTATCGAGTCCCAACTGGGATCTCATTCACAATCAGTCGATCTCCGAGAAGGTCTGCGGCAGGGCGCTTCTTTGCTTCTTTTTCATAGGCCGCCTGCGTCTTTCCCACTCGAAGCTGCCGGCGAGCTCTGCCTTTTGATGTCCCTCCAGTTGAAACGAAGCCACACGGCTGGGGGTCACACCCAAGCCCGTTGCTCAGCGTGCGTGCTCACTACTGAATTCTATTTTTTTCCCTTTGTCCAAGCAGACTTTTATGGCTGACGATACGTTTATGCCACATGTGTCAAAGTCAAGGCCCGGGGGCCAGATCTGGCCCGCCACATCATTTTATGTGGCCCACAAAAACAATTCAACTTTCATGATGTTTGCTAAACTCTGAACCAAAATTTGAAATTGTCATATACAAAGTAATAATTACGATGTTTGACCAATCCATTTTTCTTGACTTGTCAAAACTAGCTATGCATCTAAATGTTGCTGTGTATGTCATGTGTGGAGGTGGTGACAAAAAAATGAGTTTGACACCCCTGCTTTATGCCTTGTTTGTTATATTCTCTATTTGTAATTGCCCTGCATGTGTTAATTATGTGCCACGGTTAAACTGACTTGATATCTTAAACTACTTTAGGCTATCGATATGATCTTCTCCCAGACTTAATGACTAAAGACGAGAAGGAATTTCTGCCACTTGAAATGTCAGTAAAGGTCATTTTAGTCAATAAAACAGTACAGTCGATTGTACGTTGGCACTGTGTCTGTGTTCATAATCAATCGCAAGACTTGAATGGGGGGAAGAAAAGACCTCTGGGGAGATGGCAAAAGCGCACACACATACACCCACACTTTCTTTCTCTCTCTCTCTCTCTGAAAAATGCCAAACATGCTTTTTCCCTCACCGGGAGAGAAATAAATATAAAATCAATCAGCGTTCCTTTAGTTCATGTCGTTAAGAATAAATGAGATCTCTGCGGAGTGCTTGCATTAGTTTTACTTGAGGGAAGAATATGAACGGAGCTGTAGCGTATCATAGTAGAATAACTGGACCTTTTTTTGGAGGGGGGTATTTTTTACAATTATTAGTTAACAGTATTTGTGGTAATTAGTCTATTAGGTTTTGTAATCATACACTAGTAATAGATCCATCAATCAATTTAAATGAATTGTAATTTTTTTCCCTTTATGTTTAAAATGACGAATACCGGTAATAATAATAACAATGCAACTAGTAATATGTCATCATCATCAGCATCAATTCAATTTATCAGGTGGTGCTGTTTAACGGCTGTTTAACTTTTAGGGCACAGGTGTCAAATTTTTGTCGTGGGCCATATTTTAGTTACGGGTTTGGTTACAAGAAAATGCTTACAATATCCTTCTTATTTATTACAGATGAGAATTTTAAATTTTGGTCTAGATTTTAGCCAGCATCATGGAAGTTGACATGTTTGATTCGCTTTTGCGGGCCACATAAAATGAGGTAGCGGGCCGAATCTGGCCCCCAGGCCTTGAGTTTGAGACTGCTGTTTTAGGGCATCGCAACCAATCAGAAGGATGAAGAAAGCCAGTTTAGAAAAAGATGCAGCAATGGTGCATAAACAAACGGACGGACAGCAAACCTTCATGTTACAGTACATGCATGATTGGATGGCTTATCCTTGAAATACACAAAACACATCTCAGCGTATGCTAACACGTGACCTAAAGGTCTACCATGACAGCCTGCTGTTAGCTAGCGAGCTAAGATGGCACCCCTAAACCACATCTTCCCTGGTTGCCACAATTTCCAGAACAGCTCGGTGGACAATTTTAGTTTTAATCTACTCAGTGTTATGCAGATTCATTAGTGTTATTTAGAATTAGCCTAAAGTGTCTTTGTCATGTGGACCCACAACTCAGTTCGCTCGCGAGCCAGCTAGCGGCTAGCGCATTTCTAGCGGACATTCAACCATGTCCTGATTGAAAGTTAAACGGAACATGCCCAAAGAAAAAAATGAAACATTCCCTATCGCATATATCGGAAATCCGCGAGGAATTAATGTGCCACGAAAGAGTTTTATAATTACCTAGTGTTGCCACTAGATGGCGACAAAGCACTACTTTCTATTAGAATTGTTGATGGATTGACTCAATAAATAAAATACTGTATATAAGACAAGGCTTTGGCCTGAGCACAAAAACAGTAAACAGTTGACGTTTTCATTTTTAAAAAAACGGAACACTGCAATTGACATGAAAATTGCAATTGACATGAAAATAATTTTCACAAATAAAGAAGCGCATCATCTTTCTTACCTTGACCAGATCCTCCAGTTCGGAGGAGTTGACGCAGCCGTGCATGGCCAAGAACTCGAGCTTCTCGGCCAAGATGGCCATCTTCTGGGAGCTCTCGTGCGGCTGCTCCAAGGCGCGGAACACGGTGGCGCCGATCACCAGGTAGAGCACCACCAGGAAGAAGATGGCCGACACGGTCTTCCAACGCATGACGGTGGCGCGGGCGCCGCCGCACTCGTCCTCCTCGTCGCACGTCAGCACCACCGGCTTGGCCGAGAACGACAGGCGGGGCTTGGAATTGTGGGCGGCAGACTTGGGGTCAAGGAGATCAGGTGCGGCCACTGCAGATGAGGGAGTTCAGATTTAACGCTTTCATACTTCCTGTAACCTCATAACATGATAAGCTGTCCACTGTCGTGGCCGCTGTCCCCGAAAGGGTTAATCCAGAGCAGTGAGTTCATAAATATTCAGAGCCTTTGCCACCGAGCTGAAAATTGAGCTCATGTGCATCATGTTTCCACTAATCATCCTTGAGAGCTTCCAATAGCTTAAGTGGCGGCCACTTGTGTTCAATTCAGTTGATTGAATGTGATTTGGAAAGGCAACACACCCGTCTATAGAAATGAAAGTGCAAGTACAAAATCAAAGGAGGCACAAATCTGGGGAGGGGTGCAGAAAAAAATAAAATTCTGCCGTTTTTGAAGGTTCCAACGAGCGCATCTTCTGTGGAAAGTGGAGAACTTTTCAGAAGGACAACCATCCATGGAGCACTCCACCAATCAGGCCTGCACGGTAGAGCGGCCGAACTGAAGCCTCTCCTGAGCACCTGGCAGCCCGCATGGAGTTTTCTCAATGGCACCTGAAGGACTCTCGGGACATGACAAAAAGAAATTCTGTGGTCTGATGAGACAATCATTGAACACTTTGGAGGAAACCAGGCACTGCTCATCACCTGACCAATAGCATCTCTACACTCAAACGGCAATGGCAGCATCAGGGACCTCAGACCGAATGACTTCCCTTCATATATTCATACTACCAACAGTATTACATAACCAAGTTAATTTTTCATGTTATGTGGACCAAGAGATGCAACACAGCCGGAGTGGACCAGGTCATAGCAAGGATAGATTCTAAGTACCACCCTGCATAAACTTATCGACGTTTGACGCCACCATACCGGGGAAGCTCATCAAATATTAAAAAATTCATAACAACAACATTCTCAGCCGGCTACGGCGGTTGGCTGCAGTTGCATAACCACTTTGTGGCACTCCCCCTAATGTGTTTTATACAGTAACCAGCCAATAAACACTTGCTCAATGCAAGCTCCAGTGCAACCACATATACATGACTTTAAAATACTTCCATACATGACACAACAAAAAACGGAGTCAAAATGCGAACAATAAATTAAATGTTATATAATTGGGAAAAAAAATGGGGAATAAAAATCCTGAAATGGAAAATAGGGTGAAAATTATAACAGTAACTACTTCTAATAATAATTCATATAAATAAATTTAAAAAATCTTAAAAATTATTCAAAGGTCCGGAAAATTTGCGGAAGAGGATTAAGGCCAGTGAAGAAAAAAAAAAAGTTCGGACTTGAACCCTTTCATACATCCTGTAACCTGATAATAATAATAAGCTGTCCAGTGTAGTGACCGCTGTCCCCGAAAGGGTTTTAAGTGAAAATTCTGAGAATAAAGTCAGAATTCTGCGCTAAAAGTGAGAATCTTTTTTTTTTTTCTTCCCTGGCCCTCATCTTCTTCCGTAAAAATTAGATGAACAAAACAAAAGTTACAATAACATTTTAAAAAGTCTTTGAATGATCACGATAAACTCAATATCAGAATATAAATGCAAAATAAATGTCCAAATTAAAAAATAAAAAATCATCTAATTAAAAATAGAAATAGTGGTGACAAAAAAAAAAAAGAAATGCGATAGGAATGCATAATGAGTATTTATTTCTATTATTTGTATTGACAGGAGCTTTTTTTTTTCTTTCAGTTCAAACCCATAGCAAAATCAATTGCCTTGACGCATACCGAATGAATAAAGAACTCCAATTTCCTGACGGCATCATTCACTCTCGTCTGTAGCCCCAAAACTGAACCGATAGCATCTTGCTTGCCAATCATTTGTCGCACTTACTTCTTCGACCATCTCCTCTCTTCTTGGTTCCCTCCTCGACAGATCTTATCTTTGACAAAGTGCTTCGGCGCCCCCCCACCACACCTCTCAACCTCCTCCTCCACCTCCTGCTCCTCCTCCTCCTCTTCCTCACTGGAGTTGTTGATGATTTTTGCCAGGCGTGATGGACGTGGGCGCGCTCCACATGGCTCCTCCGGCGTGTCGTCTCCGGCCGAGAGACAAATGCGGGTAGGACATGATGTTCCGCACCTGCTAGACACCCCAAGGCGCCGCGGGAGGGCGGGAAATGTCCTCCGTCAAATCCATCCAGGTGTTGGGGAAGCCCGTTGGATCTGCTGCTGGAGGACTTTTTGTCATCTGCCTTCAACGCTGGAGTACGCTGACTGTGCGTGCGTGCTTGCTTTAGAGCGCGAGAGAGAGAGAGAGAGAGAGAGAGAGACCCAATACGCAGTCAAAATAAGATCCATCCATTCAGCAACTATTCTGGAGAATCGCTGTGAAAAGCACGAAATGAGACACAAGCCAGACAATCGAATGCGATCAATAGCAACTATGATGTGAGATCATTAAAGTTCATGATAGTCATGAAAAAAGAATCACATTGCGAACAAAAGTGTTTTGAATAGCGCTTTTCGAACTCTGCCGTGTAGTCAATACCTATTTGAATGTTTACGTGAGGAAAGAACCCCAAAGAATAAATATTTCGAATAAGCAGTGATTCTGAAAATGTGGTATGAGTACCACTAGTGATATGCGGGCTCCCTCTAGTGGCACAAGGATGAATCACTCAATTTTTTATTTTTTTTCCTCATTTGTTAAGTACATTCTCAGTTGCGTTTAGCCCTTGAGCACAATGCAGTTCCGTTACATTTTTTACAAACTCTTTTTATTTTTCAAGTGCTTTTTATTGATTTATTTTTGTTTGTTTAACTCGCGCAATACATAGAGTCATTATTTATTATTTATTTTATTTCACAATTCAGCATCTGTATGACAAAATGCAGCGGTGCCTTGCGATAACAGGAGTGTATTCTTTATCCTCTGCAAAAAAAAAAAAAGACTCATTTTGCCGCAGTCAATTGCAGTAGCAGCAAAACTTGCGATTGTGTGTCCATATATTGGTTTTATATTGCCCCCCTGGTGGCCATTTTGTGCGCACCAGAAAAAGCTGCAACGGCTATATCGTGACACACAAACATTTTTCTGCTTTATATTTGATTTGATTCTATGATTATTATGGGCAAAAAAAGTGCCGAGGGAAAAATAAGAAGAAGAAGCAAAACAAAACAAACAAGCTAATGTAGCGAGTTAGCCGCTAACAGCCTGTGAGACTGCAATAGAACCGATAACACAGTATAAATATGAAAAAAAAAACAACAAAAGCCAAGCTATTAATTGGATTTGCCTCATTATGCTCTCACTACTTTTATGGCAGAATTATCCATGAACAGACGTCGTGAACAAAGACCGCATGTTCTTTTAATTCCATGGTGTCCTTTTGTTCTCAAAATGGTGGCTGACCTGAACAAGTCACCTGTGAAGTTGGCAAATCACATGAATTCCACTATGTTGTGGATTTATAATATTTCTGATACACATTCTCCGTATAAACATTGCAAACACAACTTCTGCAAATTTCCCAAATTTAGAACGTGCAACTCAGTGTAGTGCCGCAACATATCCAGCAGCACTGAGATCAACTGGGAGAGATGAAGCGAAATGAACAGCAAGGAGAAGAAGAAGAAGAAGAAGCAGCAGAGAAGGTCCCCAACTAGTAATCGTTGATCCCGCGAGTATTATTAAATGTTCTGTTTACATCCGTTGCTGCTCCGTGTGTTAAAGCAGCAGTTTAATTACGAGCTCTGCTAATTTCCGTTAGCCTGTTGATGGCATTTCACATTGTATGTTAGCATTCAGCTAGTGGTCTTTCTATAAACTGTCAAGATGGTTGGAGGATCCAGATAAATAAATGCGTAATATTCCCCTAGTTACTTTGAAGGCAGCATCAGCTACAGGAAATTGACGAGAGTGTTATGACAATATGACCTCCTAATGGTTCCTAACCGCTCGGCATTGAAGCCACGGTTTGGCCCCCTCCCCCCTTCTTTGTGGCAGGTGATGAGTCATGCTGCATTCGGGATTGCTGGGAAATAGTAAATGAGTTGCAAATGTTCCTCAGATTACAAAAAAACACAACAAACAAAAGCTAGATGAGTGTATTTACATGATGTCGAGACCGTCTGTTATCAGTGCGTCTTTTACGCAGAAGCTTGAAATTCCCAGTTTCCCTGAACGCAGCGCCTCCCACCCAAATGACTTCATTTCAGGTGAATTTGATTCATTGCTGACGGCGGCGTCACGCCTTCGCTACGTCTCAATATCGCTTTCAAATGATTTGAGTGACACAGCAAAATAAATAATAATATTAAAAAAAAAAAAGGAAATATGTTCACGAAGAGCATATTTCATTTATGCCATTAAAAGGTAGTTGGTGTAAACTAATGAGGGAGGAAATTAATTTAGATTTTTTTAGCATCATGACTCATGGGGGAATAACAGCGGGGGCGTGTGACAACTTCCTGAAGTGTTTCCCCAGCACTGTGTTTTTTGGGGGGGAGGCTGGGCAGTGGAATTGGGGGCATCTCATCCATAATCTAAAAAAAATGAGTACAACCCACACATTTTTGAAAAGATTGAATAATATCGTTTCATGGTACAACACTGATCACATGACGCTTTTGTAAACTGCTGGCAACAAAAGTGAGTACACCCCTAAGTGAAACCGTCCAGAGGGCTAAGGAAGAGCTATAAAATATTGGTGGCAACACAAAACAGTGCTGGTGATAATTAGGACAGTTTCAGCTAGGGGTGTGCTCACTTTTGTTGCCGGCATTTTACACATTAACGGCTGTGTTCTCACGTTTGTGTGATGCTGTAAATGGAAACGACAAGCTCATTTTCTTTCTTCTTTGACTTCCCGCTTGGATGTCAGTGTCACCTTTCTTACGACCAGTGCACCGCAGCAGCGGGGGGTTAATGAGGAGAAAAGTGAGGGAGGGGGGGCATGCTTTGGTCCTGACAAGCGCTGACTGAGAGGACAAACGCAACGGCTCACTTATCAAACCAGCCCATGTGGTTACCTGCACGGTCGGGTAGACGATGTGCTGATGCAGTCCCATACATGGAAGTGACAGGCTACTACTTGGGTGGTGAAACAGCATGTGGCTCATCATCCAAACTGTCAAAAAAACAAGCTCAAAATAGTTGTTATGACTGAAAAAAAAAAAAAGCCGCCATATGGCCAAAATAAAGTGTGGTGACACTGTTATTGACCGTCACGCTTTTATTTTGAAGGCTTGACACCTGATTTGACAGCATGTTACACACGTCGCTGGCTCAATTTGTCGGACCGTTGCCAAGCAGGCTTGTTATTGCCTTGAGTGCTGATAAAAGCTTGCCTTATGCAATACGCCTTGCCGTCTATTGAACCCTTTTTGTACACAACGTGACCATTTGAATGAAGGCGAGAAACATGACTAGAGCAGATTCATCCCTGAAGCTGAGTTGATGTTGTAATCGGCGAGCGTTTCTGACCGTCGAAGCGAAAACAACGTCGTTTCCTATGTTTTGAAATATCCAGGTGCAACAAAAGCTTTTGTATTTAAACGGCACTGAGAGACAATCACGGGCTAATCAATACGCGTCTCGGAGCTCAACGGGGCAATCTGTGCGAGTCAATTGGACCTGTCATGTTTGTTTCCTGCCCTATTCCTTTTGCAGACAAAATTGCCGGACCGATGGAGCTCTTGAGTTGAAGAAAGAAAAATAATCTTGAACCTCATTTACTGCTGACCTGCTCTCAATGGGTGAAGATTTGTAATAAAGAGACCATTAAAAAAAAAAAAAAGTCAAAAAGGGCCAAAACATTTCCTTTCAGCCACATGCTGCTTCACCACATCTCATGATATGATTGGCGGAATCATAAATAAGCGACCCCACCGGCGGTTCTTTGAACGTTGGTGATTGATCACGACGAAGGCTCGCCCGGGGGCAAATTGCATGCGGCATCAGCATTCACGGAGAGGAGGACCTTGAAGCGAAACGAGGAGGTCATGTGAGCATTCATCCTTAGGGCTGATGTCCCAATTAACATTCACGTGACTCGCAGTTTGCCGGCGCTTGCGCCTGTCTTCGTAGGATGCATCGTTACGGCGCTAATTGCAGCTTTCCTTGCAGTCACACACATATTTCGTGCGGTTGTGCATCTCCCAGATAGAGCCGGACTGCACTTTTCAAAAGCAATTTCCTCCAATTTGACTACCGCTTATGTGTTTTGATGTGACAAGAAAAGAGGGCCGAGTAATTCCCCTTTGCTCTTTCGTACCGGGGACACGCAGGGGTTGGGTGGGGGGCACAGCAACCATACAAAGGACTTTACAATGTTTGGAATGGAAGCAAAATGGGGGATAGAGTACACGCTCGTGGAAATATTCAAAGATTATGTTTTACTCTCATCACTTTGCTCCTTTCACCCTTCTGGGTACAGTGGTTACTACAGTGGACAGCTTATCATGTTATCGGTTTACAGGGTGCATGAAAGGGTTCATGCTCCTGAATGCAAAGCGATGTCGTACTTAATCCAAAAAAAGGAACACAAAACGCATGATATAACAAGATAACGGCAAGCGAGACTTGCAGAATATGCGCACATCAGAAGGAGCCACGATAGATGATGCACGAATTGTTTAAATCTTTCAATTCTATTTAGATGAGTCATTACCATATGTTTTGTATAAAGTACAAAATAGCTGTGCTTTCTGTTGAAAAAAAACCCAAACAAACTGCAAAACAACTTTATAAAACTTTTTTTGGGGGGCGGCAGGAACGGATTAATGGCATTTCCATTTGTTTCAACAGGGGAAGTAGATTTGGGATACATTGGGGAGTTCTTTTCGATATTAAAAACAAACACGGGCCGTGTCCTTTACTCAACTACCCTCTACCACCTTCTCACCCTCCATTCTCATCACAAGAAAGACATCTGTTGTTGTCATTCGCGTGTACAGTACGTCCACGTGCAGGTTGGCAGACTTTGCGCAAAACCCAATTAACCTTCTCTTCTCGCTGACGTGGAATCCTAATTACGTTTGGGAATATTGATTTCATTAGACTTATGTTGGGCCCTTTGCTGGTGTGCAGCAGGTCCTTGCGTCAGGACAACAAGCGCCGGGAAGGGGAATCGAATGACAACAAACTGCTCATAACAATTAGAATGTAAGATTTTAAGTGGGATTGTCATCAGTGATTTGTCAATGGCAATGGCGGGCCCTAAGCAATCTTGTAATGTAAGAGAGTACTAACACATTTTGTGATTTTCATGTATCTGTACTTATTGTGGCTTGGGAACTTTCAGTTTTACTCAACGACATTCCACGGTCATATCTTCTTTATCCTCTGTGTAGAATGACGAATATTAATGCCGTACTGACAAGCTCACAGATGAGTTAAGACGTCTCAGTGAAGCGTTACGATTTCTAAATGTATACACGTTGCTACCTACGTGTTTTGCTCGTCAAACTTTCATCCACATACATGCGTTGGAAGGAGTGCGGACAAAAGAAACGCTTCAAAACGAAGAGAATAGACTGTTCGGCATAAATGCATAGAGTTTCTCAGAACAAATATGAAATGAATGTAAATCAAGGTCAGGAATTTTGATGCTGTTTAGGCCTTCCTGGCCCTGACTGACTAATGTGTTCATGGCAGTAGACATGCGAGGTGACCGATTAGCTACACCGCTCATAAATCCAAAGTACTGATAGTGCGGCGGCCCTCCCATGGTCATAAATATGATCACGTGACCAACTGGCTGTTACAGGAGAGCAGATTGTGGGTCCCATGAATCCAGATGTCGAAGCCGCATGTTTTCATAACAAGGATGATAGTCCGAAAAAGGATTACCACAGGAGCTTACGGTCCGTGTCTACTCTGTTAGTTTGCAAACAATGCAAACTGCTGATAGCCGGGGATTCACGTCCGATGTCAGCGTATGAGTCATCTGCGGTGGGTTTTTAATTTGATAGCTGCATAAAGTGGATGGCTCATTAGCGGGGCTGCCAAGGCTTTTTAGCGTGCCCGTGTCAAAAAACCACGAGGGGCCATTTACTGCGAGTAACGGCGCCACCGGAAAACCAACTGGACACTTCATTAGGTACACAGATGAGATCCAAAGCCTGGTTTGCATCATCACACTGGGATGTTCCGGTCATATACTGGGTGAGGCGTGGGCACTTTGGAGCGCCTCGTTGTACGTCGTATACAATAATACCCCCAAAAAAAACTGCTGTCGACTGCAAATTTCCCCAGTGTGGGACAGATAAATCTTATCTTATCTTATCTTATATCTATGTTCACATTAATCATTACTTAAGAAAGAGTAGCTCCCAGCACTTTGCCACAACAGGAACCGATCACAAAAAGGCCCAAAAAGAGGCAATTTAAGACAAGTCTTTGCTGAGTGAAATTAATATTTAGTGGCTGATATAAGAGTAATAAATCTTTTGGTGATGCGACGACTGTGATGTTGCTGGAAATAGAACAAAACACAGTAATAGGATTCGAGCTCGGTGGGTGGAGGTGGATTGCGGGGACGGGGGCGGGGGGCTGTCAGAAATGTCTAATTACACATCAACGGACTGCATAATGGGCGACTAAATGCTCATACAGACAAACACACACACACACACACACACGCACAAACATCTCAAATTCCATTTTCACTATGCAAGAGAAGGAGGATGCAAGGAAGCTTTGATGCACACTTTTAAGCGGTGTGTGCGTGCGTGCGTGAGGATGATGTAGTGCATTATGGGTAATACATCTGTCACCCTGTCCACCTGTAGTCCTTTTCACCCTGATCTCATCCGAGCACAGCCAAAATGCTTTCCCCTTTCCCCACCCCTTTCGTCGTCACCCTTTCGTGCCCGTGCTGGCATGTTGCCATGGTTACCCCGGCAATGTCACGACAAAATGTAATTCGTGGCTGCATGTACGAGCTCACGCTTGTTTGTGTCAGTGTAGTTTCAAGTTTGCACTCAAGGACACCGCAAAGGGTCGACGCCGTTGCTTGAATTTGGTATGATTGGGACATCGTCCCTCCTAAGACATTCGTTTATTCCACACTTGATTAACAAAAAGGCTGTGAGGCATGTGTCACTGTCACGGCCGGGTGTCCGTGTTGGGGACATGACGTGGGAACAAAGCGCAATGATTGCATGATGCCCCTCCCACACCCACCGAAGAAAAAGAAACTTATTAAACAAGGTCACGGTGGAGACGTCATTGCTTGCATCGACTTACCAATGGGAAATATCCTTCGACGTCCCTGTAAAATGAAATGTCTCGTCAATTTGGCGTACCACAAAGACGAGTGTTTTGAGCTACCATGGCAAATCTGAATGGTTAAAAAAATAATAAGAAGAAGAAGAAGAATAATAACGTGTGTGCACTCACAGCCAACAACGAGGCACCGTAAAACAGTCACGCCAGGATGAACCCCCGGTCCACACAGTGGCTGTTTTGCAACACTTTGTCCTTTAGTAGTTCACAACAGAGAGAAAAACTGCAAAAATCCGCAGATTTTTTGAGGGGCCGTTTTTGGGAAGATAGTGACACCCCCCCCCCATTTGTCACTATCTTCGTCATATGTTGTAATGCTTTAGTTTTAGCCACGAAAAAAAGAAGGAAAATTATCAAGCGGTGAATGCTCTAGCGATTTCTTCATCAATTATCCTTGAACATATATATTGTATTCACTGACAAATCTCTGAATTCACTGCAGACACAAGTTTGCCTTTGTTTTGATTTTTCACTGTGAATCTTGCCAGCCGTGGCCTTCCCTTGACCCCATTTTGGCAATAAATCTGTCCTCTAGTTGTGATGCAAGTTAAATTGCCACCACCTCTCTCTCTCTCTCTCTCTTTTTTTATATCTAAAAAGCAAACAGTCCACTTTGGACAAAAGCCGCGGATGCAACAGCACAATTGGCGACTGACGTCATCGGACGACGCCAAGAAACACTGATGAAACATTCGGCCTGCTGCTTTGAGAACAGCCACACGCTGTGAGTGGGGATGTCTTGATAACCGGTGCGATAACACTTCACAGTCCACTGTGCACCATCATTAGTGTGGAAATAATCAGTGTTGGCCACATTAGTGACACATTCATGTGTTAGGGTTACCGCGCAATGTTATCAACGAATTGAGGAATGAAGTGGTACTTACGAGGAGTAGTAATGTTAAACTTATTAGCGTGGCGAGGCAAAATGTGTGTGTGTGTGTGTGTGTGTGTGTGTGTGTGTGTGTGTGTGTCTGTGTGTGTGTGCGTCCCGCATGATTAACACGTTAAAGACTATTTATGATTGAGAGCGGGTCATTAGGTTGCACAACAGTGCCACCGTGTGGTCGTCACCCTTGCTTCACCCTCCCGAATACACCAATGGACTCCATTTGGTATGTCGTGCTTGCTTTTCAAGTCTTTGTCTTTGTAATTGTCCTTTTTGAATGTTCGATACCTGAATTAGGTTACGACACGCTTGACTTTTTTTTTTTGTTTGTTTGTTTATTAAGTCAACCGGATTGATCGAAGTGAAGTGACGTCACCGGCAGAGTGTCGTCACTCCGTCTCGCAAACGGAGAGGAAGTCGAGGATGTGGAGGAGCCAGCGGCGGAACTAGCGGATTGGCGTCATAATAGGATAAACACCCCTCGTACACCCACTCACCCCCGGCCGGGCTCTTGGGAGCTAAGAGAAGGATTAGCCGGCCTGCTACAAAACATAATCGAATATGCACAGAAAGCTGTGAAGCTTCAGCTCATTTCCTCACGCCATCATAAAAATATATTAAGTGTTCTTAGAGTGGGATTAAGTCATGGAATCATTTACCATATATTTGTGACTGTGTACATATACATTAAAAACAAAAAAAAGCTCAGCACAGCTGAGTCTTGGACATGCTCAAATTGTTCATAAAATCAATTTAAGACTTCACATGAAATCATGTGTTTTTTTTTCGATGAAAACGAGTCCATGGATTTAAATGTGTGATGATAAATTAACCAAAAGAATCAATCAATGCGGCACTTTTTTTGCCTTCTCGAGCTTTATTTAATAATTGCAGTTTTTGTAGTTTAGATTTCATAATTGGAACGTATTGATGGTTTTGGGGAGGGCTAGAAACCTTTGCAAATGCTCCAAAAAATTTATTACAGAAACTATCTCATGAATAATTCATAAATAAAAAATCGCGGAGGCTACATTCCAAACAGAATCCGTGATAAATCCGTGAAGTCGTCATCTTTATTTTTTCCAATTATTATGTATACACTACAATATGTATACAAAACTGTATTGAATGAAACAAAGATTGAACCTTTTTTCCAGCATTTTCTTGCTAACAACTGACATTTTTTAGAAATACTGTACAGAACGTTTCAGTGACATTGTGGGTTTTGTCACAGAGAAAATTTGGCAAGATGCGCAGCGATGAGGCACGGAGACTGCTGACATTAGTCTACAGTCTCCATAGATATTAATAATAAATAATGCACGAAATATATCTGTGAAGTATTGTGAATGTATGCAACTTATCCCCTTAAAAAATGTTTTGGTTGCCGCGCAATGTCCATTGAATGTAATTTGAAAATTTAATATAAACTGTTCGATTCTTTACATTCTCTTTAATTAATGTTTGCACTGTCAGTGAAATATATTAGTGTCATTTTCCTTATTCAAAAAAAGATGACACAATTGTTTTTTTGGGGCGGCAGGAACGGATTAATCGCATTTGCACTCCTTTCTAAGGGGCAGATGATTTGAGGTCACAGAACAAAGTCAACTTTAAAAAATTGTTTTTTTTTTTTTTTACAAAATGTTTGGAACTAAAGTAAATATTTGTCAGAAAAAAAACATACTCAAGTAATGCATACTAGAATAAATAAGTTTAAGTGAATTTTGGAAAATTGAAAACCAAGTGCTTGAAATTGAAATGTTTTTTGTTTGGTTTTTCTTCTTAACAGGACACTTCTGAATTGAAAAATAAAAGTACAGTGGATGTGTTTCTTTTTCCTCTGATGCACATCCCCTCTCCTCTAATTTCAACACCACCTCCCCATTTGCCTTGCTCTTTCTCTCTCTCACTGTGCGTGAATCCTCTTACAGGAGGATTATGGGCCTAAGATGTCTAGTGAAAGGGAGAGCGCAAAGTAAGACGCCAGAAGACGCAAACAGCCACACAGCAGCTCAGAGAGCGACAACGGCAACAAAAAAAAAAAAAAAAAAGAAAAAAGGAAAAAGGAGGACGTGGAGCATGGAAAGGGGCCCTTGCACCAAAGCGCAGGGCCCAGGACGGGGTCGGAGGTTGTCGCTCAGTGAGGTCAGTAGCTTCATTGAGTGTCCTCCAAATGCTAACGAATGGCAAGTTACTGCACTTTTTTCATGTAACTGTACATTGCTTGAGCATCAAAAATTTGCTGTTCAAATTAAAAAACAGGCAATTTTTTTCCCCTTGTTGTTATCAAGAGCTAATTTAGCATTTTTGAAGGGGTACAAATTTTTTTATCATGTTTAACCCTTATCCCCTCACTTAATATAACAATACTCAAAGGCATATTTTGTTTATCCTCGGCGAAAAACGATTAATACTGCCGCACTGAGGAGCCGAGTGCGTCTCTCCACGTATGGTATATGCATATGTCTGCGTCCTACTGCCCCCAGGTGGCCAAGTTGTGAACACCAAAAGCAACACAATGTCCATTTAATTTAAACAGAAAATGTAGCAAATGGGGCAGGAACGGATTAACGGCATTTCTATTCATTTCAATGGGGAAGGATGATTTGAGATACAAGGGTTTTGAGTTACAAGCATAGTGAGTGAATTAAACTTGTATCTCAAGACACTACTGTATCTGTACTGCCACTTAGTCCCAAATGTGAGTACTTTTGCCACACGAGTCAAATGTCTTACTCCTGCTAGGCTGAGTCAGCAGAGCCTCACCTGTTGAAGTCGAGCACGGGGCCCCGGTAGGCAGCCATGCGGTGGGCTGACCCCCCTGCTGGGGGCTCGGCTCTGTGGGCCTTCCTGGTGCTTCTCTCGGGGGCGGCGGCAGAGCAGCTGAACGCCACCACGCAGCGCAACGGCGGCGGCTCCCAGTGCGGGGAATACACCAACCAGGTCATGCAAAGAAAAAGTGACTCCTTAGTGAGCAGACGTATGACGACGGCGGATCTTGTCCCTTTTTCGCCAACCTCCAGCTGATGGAGGACGGCATGTGTCGCCTGGTGGCCACGTTGCCGCAGCTGGACGAGCAACGCTGCCCCGATATGTTCCGATGCACGGACGAGGTTTCCTATTGGCTGCACGAGAACGAAGAGCGCAAGCAGCAAATGGCGGCGCTGAAGGAGACCATCTCACAGCTGCGCGAGGAGCTGCGTAACCACCGGCATCGCATCAAGGCCTTCGAGATGCAGGTGGAAAGGCTTTTTCGCCGTACTCGCTCTTTTGTTAAAAGATGAGAGACTGCCTATGGGTACGATGACGCGGCAGCCGATCCCACGCCAACGCGGCGTCAGAAGTCGGAGGGATTTCAAAGAACAACTAAAAATGAGTCAAAAGTCGGATGCTCACGAGGACACAGCAGAAAAATCTCTTGACACGGGAGCCTGTCCCACTTCTGATGTCATGTCGGGGTCAAAATTTGGGACTTACATGACTGACACAGCAGATGTATCAACGTGGTGTCAGAGGTGGGATTTGTTTACTGTCCAAATTCTGACATCAAAGTGACATCTGAAGCGCGATTGGTTTAAAAGAAAGACACGGCAGCTGAGTATGTCGACAGGGCAGCCAATCCCACTTCTGACACCAATTTACCATCAGAAGTGGGGCTGTCTTACAGTCCTGCGGACACCAACGATGTATCAGAATTGGGATCAGTTTCCAAGAAAGACGAGTCCGTCAACATGGCAACCAGGAGCGCTTCTGACACCGACGTGCACTTCCTTGCAACCACAATTCTGACACCGGTGCAAGATCTGAAGCCTGAATGTCTTTCATTGTTTTCATCAGTTGACATGACAGCCAATCCCGCCGCGGTGTCAGAAGCGGGGTTGGCCTTCACGTTTCCCCACA